GCCCGGGGCCTAGTTGATCTGAGACGGTTTTAAACACCTGGGCTGAACCAAGGAGTACACGAACGAATCTCTTGGGCGGGAAAGGCCATCTCGGTATTGCAAAACCGTGGACTTCCGGCGCAGTACTGCAAGTGTCACGCGGCCACAAGGAATATTCTGGGCCGTTTCAGGCTTCTCTGAGGAACTGTTTCAACCTTGAGGTTAGACCTGAAGACGTCGCCTCGGGGCAGAGGGACCCCGACCCAGGGGAGGACCCCGACCCAGTGGGGACTCCGCGGCGGAAATGCCTCTTTCCACAGGGAACGTGGCGTCCCCACCGCGTCGGGCCGGCTTCGGCCAGGCAGCCACGCCCGGGACCCCGCGCGGCCCACGTCCGTCTGCCCGTCCGTCCGGCGCTCAGCCGAGGGCTCCTGGCATCGCTCCCGCTCTGGGTGGCTGGGTGAGGGCGTGCGGGGCTCACCTTGTGCGTTCTTCCGTGTTGCGTGGGTCTTCTGGGGACCCTCGTTCCAGCCGCTGCTCGCTTCCTAGCTCTGCCCACGGTGAGGGTCAGGCAGCGAAGGGGACACCTCACACCGTAACCTTGGCTTTAGCCGTGTCCACTCAGAGGAGCGAGCGCCGACTGGCAGAATACCTGGTTGGTTCCAGGGCTGGACAGAGGAAAGTGCAAGGGGAGCCTGGGACACGTGATTGGCCTGGAAAATAGGGCGTTGCTAAAAGATAAAGATTTATTTATTTGAAAGAGTTACAGAGAGAGGGAGAGATGGAAGAGAGAGATTTTCCGTCTGCTCGTTCACACCCCCAGAGGACTGCAGGAGCCAGGGCAAGGCCAGTCCAAAGCCAGGGGCTTCTCCCAGTCTCTCCCATGGGTGGCAGGGCCCCCAGACACTTGGACTCCCTTTCACTGCTTTTCCCAGGCCGTTAGCAGGGAGTTGGATTGGAAGTGGAGCAGCCGGGACGCACACAGGCTCCCATGTGGGAGGCTGGCATCGCAGGCGAGGCTTGACCTGTTCCACCATGATGCCGCCGGCCTCAGTGAGGCAAGGTCCTTCTGAGGCCCAGAACTGTCCCTGGGCCCAAGCAGGTGCTTGGATAAACGTGCCCACGATGAAGAAATGCAGGCGCTGTGGCAGCAGCTGGCCTTGGGAGTGAGACGGGTGGGTGCCCCTCCCATTGCGCACACCCCACTCTGGGTCAGACCCACCTCTCCCGCTCCCCAGCTGTGTGGCTTCGGGGAGGTTCCTCCAGCTGCCTGCTCTACCTAATGGGAATTGGACAAACACACGTGCAGCGTGGGGGGTATGCAGTGTGGGGGTGTGCAGCCTGTTAGGAGTGTTTACTCAGTACCTGGGGTTGATTTCACAGCTTTCTAAAGAGAGTATTTGGATGGTGGCGGTGAGAATTAATGGAATCCACCCCAATAATAGTGTTTATTATTGGTTACATTTTAATCAAATTGCAACTGTATGAAGTAGGGAAAACATCCTCATTTTTTTAAAGATTTATTTTACTTATTTGAAAAGAGTTACAGAGAGAGGTAGAGACAGAGAGAGAGAGAGAGAGAGAGAGAGAGCTTCCATCCATCACACAGTGCACTTCCACAAACAGTGTCACTGGGCAGTGCCATCTGAGGGGACCGCTGTCCGTGCGGCCCGCTGTTGATTGTGGCTGTACCAGCAGCCACCTCAGGACACAGAGTTCAGCACCGAGACCAGGAGGGTTTCGGTCTGTGAAATCAGTCAGTGCACTCAGGACAGGCAGAGATGTGGTGGCACCCAGGAGACCCCAGTGAGCCCAGGATGGCCTGGCCTGAAGCTGGGACCCCGTCCATCCGGGGAATTGAGACCTGGACACTGTCCACTTGGCTTTTGCTCAAGCAAAACCGAGCTCTGCGCTGCACACAGACCAGGGGACCGCTAGGTGGCTCCCCTGAGTCCGTCTGAGCTGGGGCCAGTCGGGAAAACCCTGGGCTGGCGGCTGGGGGCCTGGGAGGGGCAGTCCACGCTGAGCAGTCGCGTTCCCCGAGGTCGGGGTGACGCTGGAGGATCCGAGGGGCGGGAAGGTGCAGCAGACCCTCCAGTTGCGAGGCTGACAGCCGGAGCGTCAGAGGCGCCCGCTGGAGTGTTTGTGTGGGAGCTCCGTGTTTCCCCGGGAAGCCGCATCCTCATACATTTGTATTACGAATTTGAAAGCACTGACCTGGTGCAGCAGAGGAGAGACAGTCTGACGCTTGCTGACGAAGCTCCTGTCTGCATGACACGCCTTGCACACCCGGCCCCGTGCCTCAGTCACCGCCTCTCGGGGGCAGGACAGGGTCAGACTCTCGTTCTCCGTGCCTGCCCCTGGCGCCTGGGCACCTGGTCCATCCAGTCCGATACAAGCCGGCAGCGTCCTGCTGTCCTGCCCAGAGCTTGCTGTGGTCCCACAGGCAGCAGAAGCCATGGCAGCCTACAGTAATCAGAGATGCAGGTGGGAGAGTGAGACCCCAGGGAGCCGGGAGGGGCGGCAGGGGCTGCACTTCCCAAATAGGAGCCTGCCTAGGATCCCAAGCCCGGATTCTGCTTCAGGGGGGTCTGGCTGGGGCCTGGCACTCTGCATTTCTCACAAGCTCCCATGATGTCAGTGCGCTTGGTCTGCGGACCCCACGTGGGTGCCCCACTGGTCCTTCTGTCATTTCCTGTGGAATACGAAGCTTGCTCTCAAGTTCACGCCAGAGGGCCTCTGCTGGGGAAATCTGTTGTCTTCATTCCTCCCTGTTGTCAGTTCTCACTAAGAAAACCCTTTGCCCTCTGCCTGGGGCATGCACTCCATCCCCCACGTCTGGAATGACAGGTTCCACTGCCCCGTCCCCTTCCCACTTCTCCTTATGCAGGGGATGGTGGGCCTGTCCACACTCTCTGATCCACTTCCTTGCTCTTGCAATGGCTTGGAAAATCAGGCTGGCTTCAGGTTCTCATCTTCACGAGCTATTTCGAAACACAAATGGAAAACGCAGGAACGCAGGTCTTTTTCCCCAACGTAAGAGGGGAAACCCTGGAGACAGCAGTGTTCACACACGCAGAGAGCATTTTCATTGTGCAAGGAGAGAGCCCATTCAGAAAAACACGAGAGTGCTGGTTTCAGGCAGAGGCTGTTAAAATCAGTGTGAAACCAACAAAAGACATGAAACCATAATCCAAAGACAGCCAAACAGGAGCTAAGAAGGAAATGAATCACTTAGCGGTTTGTGTGCTCTGTGTGCTTCATGATCAGACATCTCTAAACGTGTGTGGACACACGCGTGCTGTCCCCTTCCAGATCCTCACGTGGGAAGGCTACCCTCTTTACACCTATATATAAACTTTTTTTTTTTTGACAGGCAGAGAGGACAGTGAGAGAGAAAGAGACAAAGTTCTTCCTTTTGCTGTTGGTTCACCCTCCAATGGCCGCCGCGGCCGGTGCACCGCGCTGATCCGAAGCCAGGAGCCAGGTGCTTCTCCTGGTCTCCCATGGGGTGCAGGGCCCAAGCACTTGGGCCATCCTCCACTGCACTCCCTGGCCACAGCAGAGAGCTGGCCTGGAAGAGGGGCAACCGGGACAGAATCCGGCACCCCAACCGGGACTAGAACCCAATGTGCCAGCGCCACAAGACAGAGGATTAGCCTATTGAGCCACGGCGCCGGCCACCTATATATAAACTTTTAAAAACTTATTTATTTATTTTAGAGGCAGAGGTACAGAGAGGCAGAGAGAGAGAGAGGTCTTCCATCTGCTGGTTCACTCCCCAGTTGGCTGCAATGGTTGGAGCTGTGCCTGTCTGAAGCCAGGAGCCAAGAGCTTCTTCCAGGTCTCCCACGTGGGTGCAGGGGCTCAAGGACTTGCATCTTCCACTGCTTTCCCAGGCCACAGCAGAGAGCTGGATGGGAAGTGGAGCAGCCGGGACATGAACTGGTGCCCATACGGGATGCCGGCACTGTAGGCTGCAGCTTTACCCACCACGCCACAGTGCCAGCCCCTCCATGGATTAAGTTTTAACGTTTGTTTCAAAAAGCTTTTAAAAAAAAGATTTTTATTTATTTATTTGAGAGGTAGAGTTACAGACAGCTAGAGGGAAGACAGAGAGAAAGTTCTTCTGTCCACTGGTTCACTCCCCAAATGGCCACAACGGCCAGAGCTGTGCCGATTAGAAGCCAGGAGCCAGGAGCTTCTTCCAGGTCTCCCACGTGGGTGCAGGGGCCCAAGGACTTGGGTCATCTTCTACTGCTTTCCCAGGCCACAGCAGAGAGCTGGATTGGAAGTGGAGCAGCCGGGGCTAAAATGGGTGCCCATATGGGATGCTGGCACCGCAGGTGGAGGATTTACCTACTGCACCACAATGCCGGCCCCTCAAAAAGCTTTTTTAAGAGACTCAAACCTCATGCTTGCCTAACTAAGTACATTTGTTTCCTAGATATGCTTATGTGGGCCAGAACCCTGAGTCCGGAGGATCCTGAAATCTCAGATCAGTGTTTCCTTATTAGCCCTCTTTCGGAAACAGTCTTTAAACAGAGAAGCAAAATGTCCAGAATCTCCGTTCGGGTGCCCGGGGCTGGGGGCTGGCAGGCCCGGAGTGCGGATGAGAAAGCACCACGCACTGGCCACTCACTGGCCTGGCGGGAGCCAGCCAGGTTTCCTGAGCTGTGCTCTGCAGGGCTGGGGGCCCTGGGTGGTCCCACACCCCTCTGCCCCCATCACTGCCTCACCCCCCAGGCCCCTTCTGTACCCACAAAGGGGCTCCCCCAGGCGCTTCTCGATTTGGTGGCACTGTCCTGAGCTGCAGGTTCGCCCCTCCTCTAGTTGGGGGACCGTGCATCAGCCCCTCCCCCTCTGCCCTGTGTTCTGCAGTGGGAGTAATTTCCTAACAGCGTGAGCTTTGCAGCCGGCCTAGCATCCTAGGGATCAGAGGTGGATTTTGAGCTTCGGGCCACTTCCTGACCCAGGGCGTGCCCCGTGCGGCTCTGCGGACCCATTCCGGCCACCTTTGTTCGCCCCACTCGCGCTCACGTGTGCCCAGGGCTGCCCGCGCTCCGCGACCCTGCAGGGAGCCTGTCGCCCTTCCGGCGATGGCCCCTGCCCTCTGCCCTCTGCAGCGCCTGGCGGCCAAGAGGCGCAGGTCCGCGCAGCGCCCTTTGGAGCAGGGCGGGCCTGTGCGGACCGAACCAAGCTTAGCGGGCGCGCCGGGCTGTATGTTGCGGCCATGGAGCGGCCGGCGGTGCCGAGCGAGGTGCTCATGAGCCAGGCCATCCAGCCCGCTCACGCCGACGCCCGCGGCCAGCTGAGCGCTGGGCAGCTGCTCAAGTGGGTGGATGCTGCTGCCTGCCTGGCGGGTAGGCGCGGGGATGAGGGGCCGGGGCGCACGGCTGGGGGGATGGGGGCGTGGCGTCCGCAGGAGAGGGTCCGCGAAGTAGGATGGAGGGACCGAGCTGAGCCGAGGGATGCGGACCGGGGGAGGGGGATGGGGACCAAGCCTGGTGGCCCAGGACCGGCCATGCAAGGCCAGGGATGGGGCCGGGGACCGGGACTGGGGGTGTGGGAGCCTGACACTTCCAAGTTCTCTTCCTTTCGTGGAATATTACAGCAAGAAGCCCACCCTCTCCATCACACACGCACACGGAGTCTGCTACAGCTCATGTTCTGTGGGCTCAGCTCATGTTAGGTGTGTATCTGGACGAACAGTTGGCTCCCAGCTGGCAAAGCTAGAAGGTCCAGTTTTCTGCAGAATGAGCTGACAGGGGGAATGCATAAAACACCTGCTGTCTGGAGTGTCTGCTCCCTTCTCTAGCGGAGACTGCTGATTAATGTTCTGTCCCAGGTGTAGCCCACAGCTGCTCCCTGCTTACAGTGGCCAAGCGGCTTCAATACATTCAGCTTCCAGTTACTGGAACGCTGGACACTTGGCTTTGTTTTTAAAACAGGAAGATAGAACCTGACAAATAGTTAAAGTCTGCAGCGGCTACTGAAATAACCGCATGAATAGCTAGATGTGCTAGGTATTGGTGTTGAATTTAAAACAAACAAACACAAAGCCGTATCATTTAGAGTTTAGGGGAAAGTACAGTGATCAGTGCAGTAGAACACAATGTATAAGCAAAGGAGCTGCTCCGGCGCCAGATGCGCTGTGTGGTCACGGGAGTGCTGGAGTGAGTGAGCGGTGCACGGCTAAAATAAATCCAGTTCCGTGTTATTCTTCTGCCCTTACGCTCAATGAGTCGAGCACAGGCACTAACACCGCACGTTTTTGCCCTTTTTTTCGAAGCTGAAAAGCACGCCGGGGTTTCCTGCGTCACGGCCTCAGTGGACGACATCCAGTTTAAGGAGACGGCTAGGTAAGAGCCCCGGCTCGGTGCCGCTGTCCCCTGGGCTTCGAGCTTCCTTGTGATGACTCACTCGGTGCCGCTGATCAAGCTGGCTACTACAACGGTAACATTTGACTCCGTCTGAGTCAGTTACAAAAAACCGCCCGTAACTGCTTTAGCCACTTCTGTAAGTACAAATTCATGGTCTTAATTTTGTTGAGAAGTCGTTCTTGGCCCAAGATGCCTCTGGCATACGCACAGCAAGATTGCTGTAAGCTGGTTCTTCATGGTTGCTTCATCTACTAGAAAAATAACTGATGACAGTAAGTATCTCTGGGATGGTGAATTCCCCCATCAGGTTGTTGGGAGCCACTAATTTGCTATGAGAAGTCAGGAAAAAAGTTCTATGTGTAGAAGCACTTACGTGCTTCCTGTAGCTAATAGCATGCAATGCAAACATTGCAAATATGCATGAAAATAGAGCAAATAATATCTAATGACCACGGCTAGCACCTTGTGTCGTTAATTATTGGTAAAATGTCCTATGCCAATTCCACCATTTCTTCCTTTGCTTCCCGGCCTGTATCTGCTGAGGCAGTCTTCGCGTTGTAGTGACTGGGTTGCCCCAAGGCGAAGTTTGCCCAGGGAAGACAGGCCTGAGCCCTTCCCTTTACTTTCGGTCGTGCTGTGCCAGTTGCTGCGTTTCGGTGGACGCCGGTGGGTGGGCTTGGATCCTTGCGATCGCTGCCTGTCTTCCTGTAGCGGGAGCACTTTCATTTTGATTTCTAAGCTGTGAGGACGTGCCCTCAAGGGTACAGATCTTTAATGTTTCCTTTGATCCCTCATCTCAGATGTTCCCGGCTGACTACCAGGTGCTTTTCAGGGAGTCCCGACTCCTCTCAGAAAAGAGAAACACAGGGCACAGTCTGGGCAGGGGAGGCTCTCACGGGCATAGAGCTGGCCATTATTTCTAGACCTGTACGGTGGACAGAATTAGGAATTATGTATTTTTAGAAGTTTCTACTACACCCAGTAATTTAGGTGTCTGTTTAACGATGGGTGTTCTGAGAAATGCATCAGTGGGTGCTTTTGTGTTGTGCAAACATCAGGACTTTGGGACATAAGCCACAGCGGCCATGGTGTCCCAAGAGGACCCTCACATATGAGCATTGGCTGACACCTTGTTATACAGCATATGTCCTTGTATAGTTTTACATAACTTCTTTGATCTTATGTTTATAACTTTTTGATTTTTTATTTGTATGCTGAATATCTTAATGTTTAAAGACATCAATGCGCCGGCGCCGCGGCTCACTAGGCTAATCCTCCGCCTAGCGGCGCCAGCACACCAAGTTCTAGTCCCGGTTGGGGCGCCGGATTCTGTCCCGGTTGCCCCTCTTCCAGGCCAGCTCTCTGCTGTGGCCCGGGAGTGCAGTGGAGGATGGCCCAGGTGCTTGGGCCCTGCACCCCATGGGAGACCAGGAAAAGCACCTGGCTCCTGGCTCCTGCCATCGGATCAGTGCGGTGCGCTGGCCGCAGCGTGCCGGCCGCGGCGGCCGTTGGAGGGTGAACCAACGGCAAAGGAAGGCCTTTCTCTCTGTCTCTCTCTCTCACTGTCCACTCTGCCTGTCAAAAAAAAAGACATCAATGCAACATATTCACTTTAAATTAATATGTATGCATGTACATATTAATCATTTTCTGAGCATTTTGGTAATACAGCTAGCAACATTATTACCGAAAGTACTTAGAGGTTAGTTTAGTCTCCTTCTTGAACTTCATCCAAACTTGTGCAAATCAGTGTATTTTGAAGTCACTTGAAAACATCCTTCTCTGTGTGTTAAAGCTACCATCTTCCTATGTAGTTACATTCATTTGTTTCTTTAGGGATTGCTTTTTATTCTCATTTCATTTTCTTTTATAATTTAAAGCCCTTACAGTTTCCAGTAGGAAAGCTGGACAGCATACATTTGACTCTAGAACATTTGGTTGCTATTGAGCTTCTGTCCAGGCCCTTCCCTCTTCCTGTAAATCGCCATGCTTTTTTTATGGCTCATTTGCGTGTTTTTAAGTGTAAGCCAACATTTTTTTTTTTTTTGACAAGCAGAGTTAGAGAGAGAGACAGACAGAGAGAAAGGTCTTCCTTCTGTTGGTTGACCCCCCAAATGGCTGCTACGGCCAGAGCTGCGCCGATCTGAAGCCAGGAGCCAGGTGCTTCTCCTGGTCTCCCATGGGGTGCAGGGCCCAAGCACTTGGGCCATCCTCCACTGCCCTCCCAGGTCACAGCAGAGAGCTGGACTGGAAGAGGAACAATCAGGACAGGATCCAGCGCCCCAACTGGGACTAGAACCCGGGGTGCCGGCGCCACAGCCGGAGGATTAGCCAAGTGAGCCACAGTGCCGGCCATAAGCCAACATTTAAATATGTTAATACTACTAAAAATAAATTCTGTAAGGTTCGTATGGCTGGAGGTTAGGAGACTGGTGAAGGTGCTGTCACAGTGCCTGGTGTGACTCCCAGCCTGGACTCCTGATTCCAGCTTCTTGCCAGTAATGCACACCCTGGGAAGCCGCAGGGATGGCTTTGGTCTCTGCCACCAGAGACCTGGAGGAAGCTCCCTGCTCCTGGCTTCACCCCCCAGCCATTGGGAGCACATACTCGCTTTCTCTGCCTCCAAAATTAATAAAAACAAAATAAACTTCAATGCGTTTATGGTTTTCTCCATGTAACTTTTTTCATATAACAGTATATCTAGAAAATCTCAACACACTAATGGAAATACTCATCATTCCTTTCTGTTACTTTCAGAATTATGTTCCTTTGAAGGACAGACAGAGATCTCCCTTCTGCCATCTTGGTCCCCAAATGCCCCCAGCAGCAGAAGCTGAGCCAGGCCAGCCTGAAGCTCAGTGTGGGTCTCTCTCGTGCGTAGCAGGAACCCTGTAGACTGGAGCCAGCGCTGCCGCTTCCCAGGATGCACATGGCAGGAAGCAGAGATGAGACTTGATGCAGTTCGCTTGTCTCCGTCGCTGTCATGCAGCGACGTGGCATCTCACGGTGTAGCTGCCCTCACCGGCTCCCCGGGATGAACATTCGCACTGTTTCCAGGCTTTACTATCACAAATAACATTTATGCACATTGGTATTTGGGGGATAAATTCCTAGAAGATAGAATCCTGCATGAGACTGTAAATTCATGACATTTTATTGGACACTCACAAATTTCCCTACAGGAGGGTTGTTGTGTGTGTTTTACCAGCTTCCAAACTAGGAAGTCTAGGCTAAAGATTAATGAAATTATTCCCCAAATACAGAGTTGTTCAAATTTCCAGCAGGAACTTTTGCCCTAAATCTGTATGAATCTGTAGGGTATCTATGTGGTGCCTTCCTTTACTCCCAGTGTCCCTGCCTGAAATGCCACAGGCGTGACAGATCCCGCCCAGGCTAACAAGCCGTGCACAGTCATCTGGCAGGTCCCACCAGCCTTCCAGACAAGCCGGTGATGGCCTTGTGGCGGGGTGTAGTGCACGCCTACCTGGGCAAGCCTCGCTACCACGATGAAAATAGCACTGCTGGTGCCCACCTCCTCGGCTCGCCGCTCTGCGACTGTGAAGCGAAGCTCACAGCCCAGGAGAGGGTGTGCGGCAGTGTGGAACAGTTCTCCCTCACCTTGCCTCGTTCATCGCCGACCCCTGACAGCTGAGCTGAGTGAGTGGCAGACCCGGTCGCAGCTCAGCAGACAGCTGTTCAGTGTGGGAGGAAGCTCAGGGATCCTCCTAGGAAGTTTCTAAAGTCTTGAGATATAGTAGGTTTCAAAGGTAGGCGTTTGGAGGGAGAAGCCTTGAACATTTCCACAGACTGAAAAAAGGTAGAGATGGAAAGTACAACAGAGGGAAGGGTGCCCGGTGGAGCAGCCAGGGGCCAGGGGCTGGGCTCAGGGCACAGGCGTAGCCAGAGACAGGGTCACACAGAGGTCTAACTGCCTGCTTGTGCAATGGGTGAGCGATGAGAACGGGGGAATGTAGCTCACGTCTGAAGTTAAAGGAGAAAAGTTGAAGGGGCTGATCTTGGACCTGCTCTGACCTTGTGCAAAGAAGAAGGGACCCGAGGTGACTTGCATGGGCCTGAACACAGAGCTTTTGAAACAGCTTCAGCCTACAGAGTTCCTGCAGCCGTGGGCAGCGAGCGGGTTATCTAGCGGGATTTAGGGCCGTGTTGACTTGGTGAGTGGATCGGTTTGCTTGGGTGCTCTCAGGGATATTTGCTTAGCCATCCGTTTGTTAGCTGAGATTTAGAAGTAAACATTGGATGTGTAGGTTTGCTTGCTTGTGTGTCCTGACCTCCCCGGCAGATCTGAAGGCAGCGGGTGTGCAGTCCCACCTCGGCAGAGGCCCTGCCTGTCCAGTAGAGGCAGCCGCTAACACCCTTGGTCAGCCCCGTCTTCCTGGCATCGTTAACCTCAGATTCATGCATGAGTGCTGTTGGCATGCTTCGGGGAACTGCTTAATGGCCTGCATTAGGTCTGAAATGAGGATGACTGAGTTGTTTGTTTTGTTTTACTAGAGTTGGACAAGTTCTAACCATCAAAGCCAAGGTCACTAGAGCGTTCAGCACAAGCATGGAGGTAAGAGGCGCCTTTCCGCCAGCTCTTCATTGCTCACCAAGGCCCCGGGGGCCCTGGGGTGGGTATCTGCGGTTAATGTGACTGTGGATTTTGCCAGACCCTTGAATGTGTAGTCAGGCTCAGGGCGAACAGAGGGAGCCGGTTCTGGACACGGCTACTCAGATGCCACGTGAGGCAATGCACTATCTTTACATCTGAAAGCTCATGGAAGACAGAATTAAAAGATAGATTTATTTTGGTACCAACAAGTTTTGAAACCCACGCATGCTTTCTCCTGATAGCCACTCTCTGTGAACTTGACGGAGTCCCCCCAAGAAGGACACGCCAGGGCAAAGGGCACCACCTCCGTCCTTTTGTTCCGCGATTGGACTCTGCCATCGCCACCCCTCCCGCATGGCCTGAGAAAGCCAGAGTGCCCGTGCGGGGGTCGGGGACGCTGAGCAGGTGTCGTCTGTCCCCTGTGGGGGTGAAGACGGTGTTCCCCGGTGCTGGTCAGGCCCGGGGCAAGGACCTGCTGGCCCCGCCTTTGACTTGTAGGCTGGTCGGTCGGGGACAGCCCTTCGATCTGTGGACACGAAGGACGTGCAGGGTTCTGTGCGCTTTCCTGGCATCGCCAAGACCGAGTACCGCACGCACGCGGGGTGACGTCACCACAGACACGTCATCTTGGAGGCTGGGGGAAACACGGGTCCCTGGAAGGCGGGCCGCCGACGTGCCGGGGTGGCCCTGATGCTGGCCTCACTGCAGTGCAAACGCCTTGGGTTTTTTCAAAGCTAGATGCCCACTGAGCGTTTTCATTTCTGCGGGTATCCACATGGCCCCGAGAGCCAGCCCCCTGTTTCAGCTCCCGTCACAGCCGAGCTCGCCCCGGAGGCTCGCTGCTGCCGCTGGCCTTCTCTGTCCGCTGAGGGGAGTGCGGCGCGTGACTCCCCATGTTAACTCTGCGGGGGGCGCAGACGTGGCACTCACCCAGCTGGCGGGTGGGCGCTTAGCCCGTGGGTGATCGGCGGGCGGGCGCTTAGCCCATGGTCAAGGTGCCTGCGTCCCACCTTCAGAGTGACTGGGGTCAGTCCCAGCGCCCCTGCTGGTGCAGACCCAGGAGGCAGTGACAGGGATCCGCTACCCACCCACACGGGAGCCCCGAATTGAGTTCCTGGCTCCTGACTTCAACCTCAGCCCAGCCCTGGCCATTGTGGGCGTTTGCAGGTTGACAAACAGATGGGAGGTCTGTCTCTCTCTGCTTTCAAATTTCTTCTTCAACTCACTTTACACATTCTTCTGGGTTTGTTTTTCAAAGATTTATTCATTTATTTGAAAGGCACAGGTGCAGGGGGAGGGGGAGGGGGAGAGAGAGGCCAGAGACAGAGACAGATCCTCCATCTGCTGCTGTTCAGTCCCCAAATGGCTGCAAAGGCCAAAGGCCGGAGCTGGGCCAATCTAAAACCAGAAGCCAGCTCCTTGGGGTCTCCCACGTCTCCCACGCAGGTGCAGGGGCCATATACTCGGGCCATCCTCTGCTGCCTTCCCAGGTGCACTGGCAGGAGCTGGATCAGAAGTGGAGCGGCTGGGACTCAAAGCACTGCCCATACAGGATGCTGGCCCTGCAGGTGGGGGCTTTCCCTGCTGTGTCACAGTGCCTGCTCCATTTTTTCAAGTTTCGGCGGTTACGCAGGTAGATGACCACGGTTCCAGCAGAGAGATAAGACATCATGCCCCTTTTTAACCAGTCAGCACCCTCAGCCCCCAGCCCTTGACAACCACTCGACTACTTTAGATCAATAACTTTTTTCTTTGTTGAATTTCATATGAGTGGAATTACATGCAGTTTCTACAGTGATTTAGGGCTCATTTATCTTACCTAGCATGATGTTTATGGTTTTCTCCACTTTTCTGTTTATTTGGGATTAATCTGGCATTGTTTTTCTAATGTCTTAGGGAATATGCTTAGGAAATTGATTAAATTCTTCTTTTTAAAAAAATATAAGTATTTTGGGGGCCGGTGCTGTGGCATAGCAGGTAAAACCATCTCCTGCAATGCCGGCATCCTGGTTTGGGCACCAGTTTGAGTCCTGGCTGCTCTGCTACCAATCCAGCTCTCTGCTATGGCCTGGGAAAGCAGTAGAAGATGGCCCATGTCCTTGGACACCTGCACCCTTGTGGGAAACTGGGAAGAGCCTACTGGCTCCTGCCTTCAGATCGGCACAGCTCTGGCTGTTGGAGCCATTCGGGGTGTGAACCAGCAGATGGAGGCCTTCTCTCTCTCTCTGCCTCTCCTTCTCTCTCTGTGTAACTCTGACTTCCAAATAAATAAAACCTTTAAAAATATGTTATTAAAGCCTTCTGTTTTCTTTAGAGCATTGCTTTACTTGCATTAAAATATATTCTTATCCCCCTTCAAATTTTCCTTGATTCTACATTATCTGGACGTGTGTTGCTTAATTTTTGAATCTTTGGTAACTTTGCAGATGTGTCTTGTTCTTAATTTCTAATTTAAATTTATGTATTTATTTACTTGAAAGGCAGAGTGAAGGAGAGAGAGAAGCAGGGTAATGGGGGGAGGAAGAAAGAGAAAAACTGATCTGTTTGCTGATTCACTCCTCAGATTATTCAATGACCAGGGCTGGGCCAGGCCAAATTCAGGAGCCAAGTGCTTCCTCCTGGTCTCCCATGTGGGTGACAGGGGCCCAGGTACTTGAGCCATCACCTGCTGCTTCCCGGTGCATTAGCAGGGAGCCTGGTCAGGAGTGGAGTAGCTGGGACTCAAACTGGCTCTCCAGTATGGGATGCTGACATCACTAGTGGCAGTTTAACCTTCTGTGTCAAAATGCCCACCCCTGATTTTTTTTTTTTAAAGTTTTAATTTATTTGAGAGGTAGAGTTACAGACAGAGGGAAAGACAAAGAGAAAGGTCTTCCATCTGCTGGTTCACTTCCCAAATGGCCACAAGGGCCAGAGCTGAGGAGATCGGAATCCAGGAGCCAGGAGCTTCCTCTGGGTCTCCCATGTGGGTGCAGAGGCCCAAGGACTTGGGTCATCTGCTGCTGCTTTCCCAGGCCCTAGCAGAGAGCTGGATTGGAAGAGGAGCAGCCAGGATACGAATCAGCCCCTATGTGGGGTGCTGGTACCGCAGGCAGAGGCTTAGCCTACTACACCACTGTGCTGACCCCTATCCCTGATTTTTAATATAATTCCTTTTCAGGAAGAAAATGTAATTTATGTAACTTCAATTATTTTAAATTTATAGATATTTAAATCATTTTATGACCCAGAATATGGACTGTCTTGGTGAATGTCCATATATATTTGAAAATAATATCTATTCTACTATGATAAGTGAAGAGTCCTATAAATTTCTGTTAGGCTGGTTTTGTCCATAGCATTATTCAGGTCTTCTGTGTTTTACTGATTTTTTTTTGTCTATTTACTCTATGAGCTACTCAAAGGAGTGTTGAGTTACACAAAAATAGTTATGGAGTTGTGAATTTTTCCTTTCAAATTGCATTGGTGTTGGCCATTTGGGATTGTTCATTCTGATGGATGACTTGGTCCTTTCATTGTTACAAAGTTTACTCTCATCTCTGGTTTTTGTTACGAAATCTTTGTCTAATGTTAATTTGCTATTTCTTTAATTGGCATCTGCATATTTTTCCATTCTTTTCTTTCAACCTTCTAATTGGAATGTTTAAACTATTTACATTTAATATGACTATCTATGTGGTAGGTTTAAGTCTACCAGCTGGCTGTTTGGTTTCTATTTGCTACATTCATTCTTTGTGTTTTTCCCCCATTTTTGCCTCCATTTTTTAGAGTGAATGGAGTAAGTTTTAGTCAGGTATTTTGTCTTCACTATTAGCATTTTTCGCAGTGTGTGTTTTGGTTTTGTTTCTTCCTGTTTGCTCTGGTGTTCACAGTCTGTATACTTATCTGAGCTTCCCTTTAAGTATGGAATAGTGATCTTCCCACAGCCTGCCTCCTTTCCCATGTGCTGGCCTTCATGCTATGTCATCTTCATGTTGGAAACTGTACCATTCATTGTCATCTTGCTTTAGAGAGCCAGTTACCTTTTGAAGAGAGAGAAAATGAGAAGAATAGATTTTACATCTTCTACACACGAGTGTTTGCCATTTCTTGTGCCCGTCATTCCTTTTTGAATCTGCAAATTTTCTCAGTATCATTTTCCTTTCGTCTAAGGATATTTCTTTAATATTTCTTGTAGCATAAATCTGCTGGTGGTGGATTTTTTTTTTTCAGATTTTGTTTGTGAGGAAGTTTCTGTATTTCACCTTCATGTTTGAAAGACATATCCACAAGGAGGAGAACCCAGTCTGCCCCTCACAGGATGTCAAGGGGTCTCCCATTGTCCTTTGGCAGGCATAATTCTCTGAGAAGTCCGTTACTTGTCTCTTCCCGAATGGTTTGTCTTGTTTTTCTTCGGCTGTGTTTAATGCTTTCTTCTCACTAGTTTTTAACAATTAGGTTATGATGTACCTTGTGATTTTCTTCACATTTATTCTGCTTGCAGATTTTCAAGCTGCTACATCTGTGAATTTATAGTTAATAACAAATCTCTTTCCAGCTGTTATGTCTCCAAACATTTTTACATCCCTTGTGCTCACTCTTCTCTTGGATTTTGTAATTTTAAACGACTATCCCATAGGTCACTGGGTCTCTCATCTTTTTCATCAACCTTCTCTCACTATGCTACATTTTGTGTAACTGTTGTCTTCAACTTCACTTATCTTTTTCCTGCAATATCTGATCTGATATTAGTCTTCTTTGATATATTTTAAATTTTAGGTACTATACCTTTCTTCTTGGAAAGACCTATTTGTGTATTATTAATATTTTCCATTTATTGTTTTCATATTTTTTCTACATTAGGAGTCAGCAAACTATGACTTGTGAACCAACTGTCTGTTTTGTTACAGATTTATTTTATTTATTTGAAAGGAAAATTTATATATATAAAGAGAGAGAGGCCAGAGAAATAGTCTTTTAGCCACAGGCTCATTCCCCAAATAGGTGCAATGGCCAGGACTGGGCCAGACAAAAGCCAGGAGCTTCATCTTGGTCTCCCACATCAGTGGCAAGGGCCCAAGTACTTGGGGCATGTTCTCTGCCTTCCCAGGTACATTAGCAAGGACTAGACTGGCTGTAGAGCAGCTGGGACTTGAACCAACATTCATACGGAATGCCAGCATCACAGGTGGCAGCTTAACCCACTGAGCCACAATGCCAATCCCCAGCTAATTTTTTTTTTTACAAATATAGTTTTATTGGTACACAGACACACCCATTCCTTTCCATTTGGTCTGTGCTGCTGCCACACTCCATTGACATGGTTGAGAAGTTGGCAAAGAAGCCCTGTGTGACCACAGAGCTTAAATTAATTTCCATATCGGGGCAGGTGTTGTGGTGTAACAGGTTAAGCTGCACCTGCAATGCTGGCATCCCAAAGGGTGTGGGTTCACGTCCTGGCTGCTCCACTTCTGATCCAGCTCCCTGGGAAAGCAGCAGAAGATGGCCCAAGGACCCTGCACTCATGTGGGAGACAGATGAAGCTCCTGGCTCCTGGCTTCAGCCTGGCCCAGCCCTGGCCATTGTGGCCACTTGTGAAATGAGCCAGTGGATGGTCCACGGGACCCTCTCTGTAACTCTTTAAAATAGATAAAGTTAATCTTTATTAGGAAAATGTTTGCTGACTCACGCTGTAAATCCTTGAGCTCATGGTGCATACGTAGAACTTCACATTCTTTTGTTGTTAATTCCATCATTTCTGTCACCTTTTTTATTTTTATTACTTTGCACTCAGCAATTTTCTGTGTCTTTTACTCTCTTACTGGAAGTTGGACATTGTGGCTTTTACATAATTTAGCGCTTTTTTCCCTTATTTCTTTAGAAAGAATGCCAGATTTTGGCTGGCAGGAAGATGCTATTTGCTGACCAGGTTGAGCCTTTAAAGATCTGTTTTTGACTTCTTTAGCAGATCTAGAATAGTCTTTATTCTAGCACTGCCTTAGCCCCTCTTCTAGATTGGGTTCTTCTGTGGTTTCCATGAATGTGTTATGTATCCAGTGAAGTCTGGCTGGAGAGAAGTCAAAAGGTTCTCAGGGCTGGCATTGTGACATTGTGGACTGAACTTCCACTTGCAACGCCAGCATCCCATGTGTGCACTGGTTCCAGTCCCGCCCGGGCCACTTTGATCCAGCTCCCTGTTAATGCACCCGGAAATGCAGAGGGGGATGATCCCAGAGCTTGGACCCTGCCACCTGTGTAGGAAGACCCAGATGAAGCTCCTGGCTCGGCCCAGCCCAGCCCTGCCCATTGTAGCCAGCTGGGGAGTCAACCGGTGGATAGAAGATCTCTCTCTCTCTCTCTCTCTGTTTCTCTTTCTTTCCTTCCCTCCCTCCCTCCCTCCCTCTCTCTAACTCTGCCTTTCAAATAAATAAAGGGATCTCCAAAAGATAAAAAAAAAAAAGATATATTCTCAGCTGTGTGTAAACTGTTGGAGTTGTTCCACTGACAGCTCCCTGGTGATTGTTTGTTTCTCTGGCCTTGTGAGCCTCCATCCTTTGTGTTCTTAGATGGGCGTCACAGGACCCACATGCATTTTCTGGGATCCTTTGTTTTCATAGCTCCCTCCTCTCTGGTTTTCTCCTGCACGATTTTCAGCTGCCTTGAGCTTGTTGACTTCTAGTTCCTCAGTTCAACAAAATGAGGTTTCTCCTCGCTGGGAATAGTCCTCAGGCTCAGAGCCTGGGAGCTACAGTGTCCCGAGTTGCCTGTTGTCCTGTTGTCTTCTCGGGCTGTAATTCCACCCTTACTGACTCTGTCAGGACCCAGCGAGAGTGCCCCTGGCGAGTTTTTGACACGTTTGGTGAAACTCAGCCAATTGCCCTAGTCAGTCCGTGTCTACAGTTTGTTGACTACACCCTGTAACTGCTGCCTTGTTTTTACTGTCAGATATCTTATTTTATTTTTAATTTGACTGTTGCTCAACAAGGGAAGCTATGTGGGGTCAGAAAAAGATGGTTTATTCTGGGTTTATCAGCATCTGGTTAACTTGGGTTTTACTATGCAATTACTTATTTGCAATTGTAAGACTTAAAGTAATTACTGACTACTTAAATAGTGATTATAAATATGAATAAATGATGTTTGTTGTTTAATGGAATGCTGGGTATTTTTGTACGTGGTGTACATGAGTGGGTGTATACAGAGAAACAGCACTGTTGTTGATAACAGTACTGGCCTGAGATGTCTGAGGCTGCCTCTTAGCCCAAGGCACAAGTGCTGGGGGAGGCACGTGGGGGAAATGTTTATGAACCCAAGGCCGAAGTCCAGTTCCTGGGTGCGCTCACGTTCCTGTGTGAACCCAAGGCCGAAGTCCATTCCTGAGTGAACTCAGTCCTTCTGTGAAGCCCGCACCCGAGCCAGCACACCGTAGCCTCACCACAAAGCCGCTCAGCTGCCTTCTCACTAATCCTGAGACGTGAAGCAAGGAAACAGAGCCACGGGTAACGTGGTGCGCTTCCGCCCGCGCTCCCTCGGCTGTAAAACTCAGAGGCTAGTAGTAAAGCAAGGAGTGGTGCTCCCTCTCATGGCCTGCAGGGCAGTCGCTAGTATCTTGTTTTCAGAAGTGTATTCTCTAGAATGGAATACTTATCACGTAATGCCAGCATTTTAAAAATTAGAATATAGAGTAGTATTACAGTATGATCATACATACATATTCATTTCTGTATATAAAAACTGGAAGAAAATTCAACTAAAGTTTAGTAATTATCATCTCTGGGTAATTACTGGTAATATATACTCTGGTTAGTCAGATTCCATGAATGTTCCATGGCAGGAACATGTAGTATTTTTTTTTTTTTTGACAGGCAGAGTGGACAGTGAGAGAGAGAGACAGAGAGAAAGGTCTTCCTTTGCCGTTGGTTCACCCTCCAATGGCCACTGCGGCCGGCGCACCATGCTGATCTGATGGCAGGAGCCAGGTACTTCCTCCTGGTCTCCCCTGGGGTGCAGGGCCCAAGCACGTGGGCCATCCTCCACTGCACTCCCGGGCCACAGCAGAGAGCTGGCCTGGAAGAGGGGCAACCGGGACAGAATCCGGCGCCCCGACCGGGACTAGAACCTGGTGTGCCGGCGCCGCAGTCGGAGGATTAGCCTATTGAGCCGTGGCGCTGGCAGGAACATGTAGTATTTTTACTACAGTGAAAAAAAAGTTATTTGTCAGATTTTAAAAAGACTTTTGAAAGAACAGTACAATGCTAACTCACAATAAAATCAAATGCTGGTTTAATTTATAAAAAACAGACAAGAGTGGTGGTGTCCATCCCTGATTTTTTAGTGTTGCAGCCTAATCTATTATCTGGATGACTGAAAGTTATTTATCTATTTTTGTTTTCCTTTCAGATCAGTATAAAGGTCACAGTCCAGGACACGTTCACTGGGGTTGAAAAACTTGTTAGTGTGGCTTTCTCCACATTTGTAGTCAAACCACTTGGAGAAGAGAAGGTAAGTTTCTGTGTGATGAGGTGTCTAGTGTGGGGCCCAGGGACACACCAACACTCGCATCAGAACTGTTATGAGATGGGCACCAGTTCGAATCCCAGCTGCTCCACTTCCAATCCAGCTCCCTGCTAATGCACCTGGGACAGCAGTGGAGGATGGTCCAAGTGCTTGGGCCCCTGCACCCACGTGGGAGACCCAGAAGAAGCTCCTGGCTCCTGGCATCAGTCTGGCCCAGCCCTGGTAATTGTGGCCATTTGGGGAGTGAACCAGTGGATGGAAGATCTCTCTGTCTTCCTGTCTCTCTCCCTCTCTCTCTGTCTCTGTCTCTCTGTAACTCCACCTTTCAAATAAATGAACAAACCTAAAGAAAAAAAAAGAACTGTTATGGAAAAAAGGACATTTCTTCTCAGTAGGAGATACCAAGGACCCTTCAGAGAGTTCACAGAAAATAGGATTAAAGGTCAGCTTATACTGATGCAGAATTTTTTTGAAATCCATGCAGTTTTTTCATGTACCTTTTTTCATGAGTCTTTGAAGACTCCCTGTATGCCTGAGTTTCAAAGTTTTTTGCACCAGAGTAAGTTTATCTTTTAGTTTCATTTTGTATAAATATTTTGAAATGTTATCGTATATTGTCTTAAGATTTGTTACTCCCCAGTATTTATCATAAAAGGTATTCTGTGATAATATGAGATTAAGTGCTCTAGAAAAAAATTGGTTTTTTTAAAGATTTAAACTTATTTGAAAAGCAGAGTTATTGGAAGAGAGGGAGAGACAGAGAGAGATCTTCTACCCTCTGGGTCATTCCCCAAATGGCCACAACAGCCAGAGCCAGGCCAGGTAGAAGCCAGGAGCCAGGACTCCATCTGGGTCTCCCATGCGAGTGGCAGGAGCCCAAGCACCTGCGCCAGGCTCTAGTGATTCCCCAGGCTCATTAGCAGAGAGCTGAACAGGAAGTGGAGCCGTCAGGACCGGAACCAGCTCCCATGTGGAATGATGACATCACAGGCGGCAGCTTAACCCCCAGCAGCACAGCGCTGGCCCCGCCACCGGGCTTTGAATGATCTGAAGGTCATACTGGTGCAGACAGACTTGCTGCTTACTGGCCTAGTTCTTCCTTCTGTGGCTATGTGACTGGAAAATAAAAAGCAGGAGAAATGTAGGAGGTGGTTGCATATTACCATCCCATCATTTTTTCTTCCTGAAGAAGTCAGAATTGCTGAATTATTGGAATTTAAAAACAAGCCTCAGGGTGCCTGGGGTGAAAGCGTCCTTCCAAGCCACGCCCTGCCTGGTGCGTGCACAGCCGCCCGCCTGGCCAGGGGCCCAGATCTCCTCTGCAGGCCACTAAGGGTTACTCAGTAGAACTTCTTGGCGCTCCTTCCCAGGGTCACTATGTCTAGGGACCTCACATAGTCTAAGCATGTTTCAAATGTAACAGTTCTGATAAAAAATTGAATCTTTCATTGCAAAGGCAGCATTCCAGCCTCCTGGAAGCCACAGGGATCTTCTCACTGCCCCAGGGTGTTGTTGCTTGCCCTGCTGCCAGCCCCAGAGCAGCTGGGACAAAGCAGTGTTTCCCCACACCCAACAGACCTGCAGCACACAGCTGCCCTCACCTGAGTGGGGAGGCAGGCAGGTGGCGGGGTGGCGGGCACCCTGCCAGAGTTTTGTACCCTGGGCACTTCTCTCACCGCAGGCCTGACACTAGATGTGACCCACTGTAGTCCAAGACCAAGGGTGTTGCTTTCCAAACGGAAGTCTAGCTCAAACTCGGCTTTCTGGGCCACGCCTGGGACCTGCTGAGTTACAAGCAGCTAGATGGGGACTGAGAATCGCACGTTCCTAGAACTTCAGGCCTTGACGCGGGTCTCGCCAGCCCTTCTGTTTTTCCCGAGTGCCTTCCCCTGTCAACCAAGTCTTCAGATTCCTGGGAACGGGAGTCCCCGTGTCTGAAAGCTAGTGACGGGCAGCAGCCACACAGCTGTTCCCCTCCAGCCCAGCCTTCCCGCTCTGAACTCTGGGGTGCGTGGAGGATGGAAGGGCCCCTCTTCAGTCCTGTCCCTGCCCAGGCTGGAGGCTTGGCTCCCAGCAGAGGAAGCCAGGCCCCTGCAGCGCTGCCCTCATGGGTCGCACAGCCCCTTGCCCAGGCTGCGTCTTCTCCAGCAGGTAGCGTTCTTGTTCAGAATGCAGCACGCCAGGGAAAGTCAGGGCTGCTTCGAACTGAAGGGCTCCCTGGACCTCCGTGCAAAGTGAGCTGGTTCCAGGACTCCATGGGGCCTGGGGCCAGGCCGCCTCACCACGACGGCGAGAGACGCCGGAGCGGGAGCGTTCAGCCTCAGGGTCCTTTGCGGTCTCACCAGATGCACTTCCTCTGTGGCTCAGGAGTCATCCGGGACAGGTGCAAGTGGCCTTGGTGTCAAGCACTCATTTACCAGCCTTGTGTACCCTGCTGAGTGCACAGCTGACACAAGGCTGCCTGGAGAGCTGACCAGTGCCGTCTGCCTGTCAGTCTGCACAGCCCTCAACAGTCAGACAAGCCCCCAGGGGGGTCTGGGACCTCACGCAGCGCAGTACCATCCTTCTCTCAGCCGAGGGGGCGGCACCAGCCTGCAGGGGCCCCGGAAGGAAGCATGGGGCTGTTGTAGTCCCCCTCAGGGTGAGCCCTGCTGACACACGTGGAGGGTCACCAGCCCGAACGTGGGCTCGTGGCTCTGTTGCATCCTGTTTCCCTAAAACTTGTACACATTGATTCTTTCTGTTTCATCAGATGATCAAATTTCCAAATCGGGCGTATCCCCTGCCACGAGATACCTTTCTCTAGAACATCTTTATTGCCAACCTTTTATGCCTTAATTTTGCAAAAGATAGAAAGCGTTTCTTTTTAACATATTTATTTATTTCCTTGAGAGACAGCGCTCCCATTGGTTGGTTCATTCCCCAGATGCCTGCGGTTGGCAGGGCTGGGCCGGAGCCAGGACCCGGAACTCAAGCCAGATCTCCCACACAGGTGCTGGGGAGCCACGGACCTGAGCCACCACCCACTGCCTCCCATGGTCTGCATTAGCAGGAAGCTGGAGTCGGGAGCAGAGCAGGGCAGGCACTTTGATGTGGAGAGGGCACCTTAACCGCCAGGCTAAACACCCACCCCAGAAAACATGTTTTGAAGAGAATTCAGGGGCATCAAAAGTCCCTCTCCTCATTCCCTCATTTGAGGATTTTATGTTCTTCAGTCCTATTGAAAATTATTATAACCAAGGAAAATAAACAGGGAAAGCATTTAAATATCTTATTATATGAAGATCTAATTAAGCCTCTATTGATTTTTTAAATTGATAGGTATTTTAAGAAAAGAATTAGACACAGTGTGTTTAGGTCCCTTAAATACTCTCTTTGCCCGAGTTAGAAAATGGTATCATTGGGTTCTCGTGTCGTGCTTTTAGAATTTAACACGGCTCTGACGGACAAGTGTGTTTCTTTCTCCAGATTCGCTTAAAGCCGGTCCCGCTTCTCACGGAGCAGGATCGCGTGCAACACAATCTGGCTTCGGAGAGGAGGAAAGTTCGGCTGCAGCACGAAGACACTTTTAACAGCTTGATGAGGGAAAGCGGCAAGTCTGACGGTCAGTCGTCCCCCTGCGGGCACGCCTGGGGCCCCGGGAACAGGCCCTTCCTCCAGTCCAGTCCTGCTGAAGGCAGGCCTGTGGGGCACACCTGTCGCTGGAGGCGGGGGCTGGCCCCTCGGGTCTCCTGACCGGGCGGGGCGGGACGTTCCAGTGAGGGACTGGGGATCACTGGGGAGTAGTCAGTGTGGCTCCCCAGGGTGGGATGGGGCTTTACAGGCGCCGGGCGGTGGGAAAGAGGCTGGCAGTGAATGAAAAGCCAAGATCCCGCTGCTCTCTCCTGGCACTTCCCATGTAGCCCTGGGTTTTCCCGGGCCCTTTCTTAACGCTCAGGCACTGATTTCTCCTGGTCTTTGAGGCCTGGTGGGGCAAGAATGGCGCAATGCCCCGGTGTCTGACCACAGATGCCATGGTGTGGGGCACCATGGAGGAGGGGAGGGGGCACCACTCAGGAGAGCAGGGGGAGCTCAGAGAAAGTCCGAGCCCCCTCGACTGAAGGAAGGCACAGGAAGCGGAGTTAGGAGACAAAGGCCAAGGACATGTGAGTTCTTAGGCGACTGAGAGGGAGACGTGCATGCCTGGTGGGAAGAGGGAGCCCCAGCAGGACAGGTGTGGCGCTGCACTGGCCCTCGGCATCCTGGCTCCTGGGCCGAGCTGTAGAGATCGCTGGGGCTGGGGCTGGGGCGGGAAAGAGGTGTTCTCCATCTTCTGCTGTGAGCACCTGGAGATAGAGGGACCAGGGATGCTCTAGGACTCTCTCTCTCAGACTCAGAACCACTGGGCCCTGGCCCCAGGTGACCCCAGGACGACTGGTCAATAAGGAAGGAGGGAGAACGCGTGGAAACCTATTTATTTGCAAGCTTTAAGGGGCAGCAGCGTTGCCAAGTTACGTTTCCGGAAGGAGGACCTGATCCTCATGACAGTGTCCAGCAGAGTGAGTCTCCATTCGGTACCAAAATCTGTGTGCAAATGCAGCAGCCAGAGCAGAGGGAGGCCCTGAGACAGACAAGACAGCCCTCAGTCAGAGACAAAGCCGAGGCAGCCAGGGAAGAGAGAAGGCGGCCAGACTCTTACTCAGGCTAGCAAGCAGAAGTCTAAGGTGTCTTAGGAAGACTCAGACATCCGACACAGCTGTTAAGAGCAAGTGCTTTTACTCTGATCTCAACAGCCTGCCTTTTCACACAATTATTATTTTTCTAATTTTAGTTTTACTGTCTTTTAAAAAATATTTTACTTGAAAAACAGAGTTACAGAGAAAGGAGAGACAGAAAGAGATGTCCCATCTGCTGGCTCACTCCCCACGTGGCTGCAATGACCAGGGCTGGGCCAGACTGAAGCCAGGGTCCTGGAGCTTCATCCAGGCCATCCATGTGGGTGGCAAGGGCCCAGACGCTGGGTCCATCTTCCAGTGCTTTCTGATCCAGAGAGCAGGATCCAACACAGAGAAGCTGGGACATGAATCAGCACCCTGTCAGATGCCGGTATCACAGGTCCCAGCTTAGCCTGTTACACCACAAAACTGGCCCCTTATATTTTTTAAAAAGCCTTCCACCTCATTAAAACTGTACTACTTGCCTTTAAGAAAAAGGTTGAAGTAAGCCACTAGGTGTTCTCTATACCAGTGGGAAGTAGCATTGGCATTTGGCGGGAACACCATTCTCGCAGGGTGTTTTCCAGCACTTGGGATATCACAGGTGGGGCCTGTTCCTTCCTGGTTTTGAGAACTGACCTCACGGAGAACAGGGCCCTCTGTCCACCACTCACCTACAGCCACCACCCAGAGATGTGGCTCATTTACACCTGAGCTTGGGTCCTGCAGCTGGTGGGCCCTGGCCAGTCTGAAGTCACAACTCTCGCTGCCTGTAACCAAGACCTCTGCCATTGCTCCTCTGAGCTCACTGAGGCAAGGTGAAAACAAAACAATCAAAATGGCAATGTAAAGCTGCACTAATGAGGGCATTTCAGTAGAAGGTTGGCATGAGGATGAAATGAGGTCATGGGCGGGTGGCCCCAGAAGTTTATGGGAAAGTGGGACTGAAAGATGTGTCCCTTTCCCACAAGCGTTTTGAAGGCCCCCCATAGAGTAGCTCCGTGGGCCCTGCGTGGGGCACGGAGAAGGTGCTATCTCGCTGTTGCTGGAGAGGCGCCTGTCCACAGGAGGGGCTGGTGTGCCTGTCGGAAGGCCGTACTTGGAAGGAACACGACTGTGAAGGATGAGAGACAGCTTGGAGACAGAGGGGCCCTCCAGGGCACAGGGCGCTCCTTTTCAGACAGGAGGAATGTGGCCTGGCTCCCAGGGGCTGGGGCTGGGGTGAGAGTCTGGGAGGGACGTCAGACCGGTGCTTCTGCGCCTTGCCAGTTGCTGTGTGTCTGTCCTGGGAGGAGCGAGGGGCTTGCTGCTCTGGGCAGATTTGGAGGGGTGAGTCCGATTGGGAGCGCTCAGGAGGGCGGTGACCGGAGCCTTCTCTGTGCCCTTGCCCCCAAGGCAGCATGAGCCGGGTGAACTCGCTGGCTGTGTGTACAAGGTGCACCAGTAGACAGTGTGATGCACACACAGAGGGCACACGTGGCGCTGGACGCTTCTGAGTCAGCTGCTGACACACACAGTCTGCATTCAGCGAGCGAGACGTGAGTTCCAGCTCAGTGCCAGGTTGTCCACATCACGACCACAGGCCTGGCTCACTTTAGATCTGTAGACATTTTGGCTTTTATTTTAAAGGCGTATTTATCTGAAAGGCAGAAAGGGAGAGACTGAGCAAGAAGGAGATCTTCCATCTGCTGGTTGGGTTCACTCCTCAAATGGCTACAATGGCCATGGCTGGGCCAGGCCGAAGCAGGAGCCAGAAGCTTCATCCAGGTCTCCCACGTGGGTGGCAGCAACTCAGGCACTTGGGCCATCTTCTGCTGCTTTCCCAGGCACATTAGCGGCAAGCTGGGTTGCAGGAGGAGCACCCGTGTGGTAAGTCAGCAGCGTGGGCCACAGCGTAACCCACTGTGTCACAATGCCAGTCCCTTTAGACGTTTTAAACTATGCTTTTATCATTATTCTATTTAATCTTCCTTAAAATAGATTCTTCTACAATCCTTAGCACAAAATGTAATTTTAATCTAACTCCATTGGTTTGTTCTTTTTGCAAATTGTACTAACCCCCAGACCCCCAAATGTATCTAAGCGCTTAAAAGCAGTTCCTGTCACGGAGTGGAAGGCTTAGACCTGACACTTCTAGTTGCTGTGGTGCGTGGTTCAGCTGCTGATACTTGGTTCTGAAGGAGCTTGCTTTTCACTGGCCAGATACGTTCAGCTCTCTTACTGAGCCATGTTCTTGGAAATTCAGGCTTCTACATTGGCTGAAATATCAGACATGAAAGATTAAACGGTTTCCCAAGTGTTGAGTGACGGCAGTGAGTATTGTTGGAACAGTGAGAAACTGGAATTAGGTTATACACTTTCAGAAGGAAAGAGCAAATGATGAGATGGGATTTGGCAGAAGGAAGACATTTCTGGGTGTGCTCTTGTACTGCTGTGTTGTTCAGAAGCCTGGTGTGTAGGGAAAACTTAAAATTGGAAGCATTTTCAGTGTAGATCCTGAGAGCATTCTCCTGGGTGGTTGTTTCCGAATCTGCAGAAAGAAAACGGGCTGCAATGACCTGGTTTCAGGTGAAAGAGCCTGACCTAAAATGTGGGATGAAAGTCAAGTTGCCCAAACAGGCTGGTGACACAACACTTTCAGGACATCCAAAGTACAGGCGTTGAGCTTGGCCGGGCACAACCCGCAGGAAGGGTCAGTTCTGTTTACTGTACTCACAGCAGAGCTGGGAGCAGAGCTGCTTTCTGAATGGGAAACCCTATTTTACCTTTAGTTAGCCATTACCTGCAAATAGGCAAACTCTGCACCAAAGTCACCCCCACCCAGGGTATTTCTGCAAACATGGCATAGCTGATAGCTAAATCCTTGTGGGACGTGAGTGGTCTCATAAAAGGAGCTGCCTTCTACACTTAGGTTAAGACCTTCTCAGTTTTTTTAATCTTAAAGTTATTTTTAAATTATTATTAAATTGATAGTCTACGCACAGGGTAAAAGTTATGCCTCCCATCTGTGTCTGCAGTCACACAGTTTGCACAGACGTGTGCACACACGTGTACACACACGTGTGCACACACACACACGCACTCATACGTGCACCCCCATGCCAACACATAGTGTAGCAGCGTTCCCCCAGTTACAAGCTTCGAGTGTTTTCATTTAGCAGTATATTTTAGAGACAGTTTGTATTACGTTATTTTTTACAGGATGTGCCATTTGAGTATCTGATTTTTGCCAGACAAATATCAATGCTAGTTTAGTTTTTGGATCATTATGCATTTAATTCAATAAAAAGAAGAGAGAGTGTATGGAGGGGGTTACGGTTTTGCATCCTTTCTAAGATCACTTTAGGAAGTAAGCCAGTGTTGATTATAATAATGTCTTGGCCTTCACGTTTGGGAAAACCATAATCCTAGGCAAACGTTGCCAGACGCCTTTGTAAACAGAACTCAGCAGTCAGAAAAAGAAGGGAAAACCTTGAAGTCCAGCAATGCCTGGGAGGCACCAGTGGGCAGAGTAGGCACGGGCTAACTCTGGTGACTGCCCGGAGGACCCGTGTCTGAGGAGCAGTGCTTGTGCTAAGCAGACTGTGCCCAGCAAAGCCAGGGCTCTGTGCCCAGTGGGAGGTGGGTCAGAGGACCTCCTAGGCAGCCGTGGCCTTCAAAAACGATGCCCTCAGTGAGTCCACTAGAAAAGCCCCACCCTCCAGAGAGCTGTGGTAGGGAAGCGTTCCTGTCTCAGCCTCAGCCCAGAATGGGAAAGAAGTTCCGTTTGAGGATTGTGTGAGGCGTGCACCCTCCTGCGGATTTGCTGTTGGAGTCACATGGTCTGTTTGCACTGAAGTGGACTCAGTGAGCTTCGGCTCGTGCAGGGTGTTGTCGGACCCCGGGAGCAGCAGCAGCCAACGCAGTTTTCTCATGGGGAAATGTAGTCCCAGACCCCGAGAATTTTCCTTCAAGGATCCCAGGTGTGAGCTCCTAGTCAGAGAACATGAAAGGCGAGAGTTACTAAGGCGCTGGGGTGTGCAAGACATACCACTCACTCAAGATCTGGAGAGGCCCACAGAGGTAGCAGGCGTTGAATTTGCCGTATGAAGAGTATAAAGTCAGAATGTTAATGTGCTTTAGAAATAAAAGAGTACCAAAAGTATGATGCAGGACAACAAAAATGACCTTGAAGGATGGACAAAGAAGCAAAGAGAATTACTATAAAGAATATATACTTATTAAAATTTAAACACAGTGAAGTTAACAGCAGATACCTAGAGTGAATCCTGATAGGCAAAAACATGGCAAAGAGCTGAGAGAGGTTAGGAGATATAGACAGTGCGAAGCTGAACGCATAGCCGCTCCGAAGTAGGAGAGCAGCAAATGACAAGCAGATGATGCAGAGGGACATTCATTAGGGGTGACAAGAATGTTTACCAAACCCACAGAGAGATGTCAGAAGTCATTGGTCACAAGAGATGTGCAATTAAAGATCAAGTCTTATCTGGAATGGTTGTGGCTAAAAGTGTTGCAGGTTTTAGACTACCTGCATATGCACAGTGAGGGGTGTGGGGCACAAGTCTCACCGCGACATTCATGCATGTTTTACGTACACCTCGTATACACAGCCTGCAGGCTGTTTTATCCAGTATGCTTAGTGCACCTGTATTTCATCTGTGACCCACTAGGAAAAGTCAGCGGTGGCGTTCTGTCAGCCCTCAGAAAGTTTCAGAGTGTGGAGCATTTTGTATTTCCAGTTTTTGGGTTAGGGACTCTCAGCTGTAACCAGCATGAGATAGTTTTCCACCAACTAAACCAGGAGCAGTTGAGTGTCTAGTGATACTATTTTAAGCAAAAAAGATGAGGAACTGGAGCTCTCAGCGACAGCTGGCCCCCGTCGAAGGTGACACAAGTTGTTCTGGGCCAGCCAAGAGGGCCCAGTGTCCCCAACACCTGGTGACAACTTCAAGGTTGAAGATTATTGTTTTTCCAAGAGGAGCAAGACCTTTTGTCCTTTAATGAAATGGCAAGTCGGACGAGACGAAGATAGTTCCCAAGTTAATTTTTTATTGCAAGCCAAAAAAAACCCACCCCACCCCCCCCAAACACAAAACAGAACAAGTGAAAACAAACAAAAGGAATATATGAAAGGATAGGGAAAATAGGTAAAAGGAAATTACTTGGGTGCGAAGTGCTGGGAATGAACCAGTGTGTCCATGAAGGAAGCTGTCTGTGTGGCCAGGCAGCAGGCCCCTTAGGGTGGTGCTCCATGGTCCAGATACGGCCAGGCCGCCCGCAGAGGGCTTTTCACCCCAGCAGAGCCTCTGGCGGCTGACGCCTGTTCAGGGTGAAATCTCGCAGAGTGGGGTCACAGCAAGATGTGCCTCCGATGGGAGTCTGGAGACTCCAGGAGTGTTAGCTGGCAGCCTTGGAGAAAGCGGTCCTGGACCCAGGCCCTCATCTGCGTGTGGGCATGCTGTGGTTGCGGTGGTTGTCAGCGGTGAGAAGTAACGGCCTCCGTGCCGTCGGCCCGCCTTTGGCTCAGCCTCCGTGACTTAGAAGGAAAAACTCAGACTGCAGTCAGCGCCGTCAGAGTCAGTCCTGTTAGTCACCATCGAGACGGCAGTTCACTTAGCACACAAGACAGACATCGCAGCGCAACCCTGCATTTTTTACTTAGGAATGTTCTGTCGAGGGTAAGCACCATGCCTGTGAAGTGGGGTGAGTTCACTCACGTATTCATTCACTCAACAAATACCTGGTGAAGACCCAAGTTCAGGAATCAACATTAAAAGCATTTCTTAGTTCCTGCCCCAAGGAGCGTAGGCTCTAGTGAGTCAGACAATCGATGCCCACACAAACAAGCATACAACTAGAGCTTTACAATAGAGGTCCGTGGGGGGACTGACTGGGGGTGTCAGGATGACTGGGAGTGGGACAGGTGGTGCTGTTGGCCAGAGGGGACTGCCGCAGGCAGAGGGGACATGTGCAAGTACCATGATGTTGAAGACAGCACTCCCTTGGAACCACTGGGGAAAGACCCACGTGACTGGTGCAGAGAGAGTGGGAGGATATGGTGAGGTTGGTGGTGGTGGTAGTGGCATTCAGACCAACGGGGCTGGAGAGGGAAGCAGAAGTCGGACAGGACGAGGGACTTGAGGCCACAGCAGGATTTGGGGTTTTGTACTGGAACAGTGGGATGCTTCCAACCTGTTTGAAGCCAGGGAACAAGTAATCAATGGGGTGATCTAATTGCAAATCTAAAAATTCCACTGGAGGCAGACATTTGGCACAGCAGTAAAGAGACGCTACTTGGAATGACCACATCCTAATCAGAGTCCCTAGTCTCCAAGGTCTGGCTCTGCTCTGATCAAGCTGCCTGCTAATTAGCACCCTAGGAGGCAGCTTAGGTGTTGGGTCCTTGCCTCCCACATGGGAGACCTGGATTGAGTTCCTGGCTCCTGACTTTGGCTAGCCCAGCCCTAACTGTTACAGCAGATGGAAAATTAATCTGTCTATCTTCTCTCAAATAAATTGAATAAATTTTAACAGAATTTCTGTTAGCAAGTGGCATTAGAGATCTGTAGCCATACTTCTTACATGTACCTAGATGGGCTTGTGCCAGGAATGACTGTTCAGGCCCTGGTCAGCTGTCATTACAGCAAGAGCTGGGCACAGCTGCACTTTCACATAGCACACTCAGCTCTGTTTCTGGCGTGTACGTCTTCCCCCACGTCCCCTGAGAGCACCGGAGACGGCAGACTGGCTGATGACTCCCCTCAGAGATGCAGGAAGCATAACCCAGTGCATTTTACTGCTTTGCAGCCAGAGAGACTGATTTCCCCGTTGTCGAGAGTAAAAACCAATTTGTCAGTAAGTGAAGCAAACAGGATTCCAGGCAAACAGGAGGCTTTGAGAAACGCTGTGGACGGTGTCTTTCCTGCTTCCAACCTAGTCTGTCCCAAGACTGCTTCCCCAGGGAGCCGTGTTCCCCTGCCGAAGTCCACAGTGCACCCGTCTCTTGGTGTCTGTGCCCTTTCAGGGCTCCGATTCCTTTACTCTCAGCCACTTTATTGAGGTGTAATTGGCACATGACAAACGTCTCATATTTAAAGATGCAATTTGGCAAGTGTTGACGAAACTCTTCACCCATGAACACAGCGTCAACACAAGGACGCACCCGTCACCCCTGTAATTCCTGACAGCTCCTCTCCTAACCTGCCCTTCCACCACTCAAACCACGCAAGTCCACATGTAACCATTCTGTCCGTCAGGATTCTGATGAACTTGTTACATGGTTGGAACTCGCTCTCCTAAAGGCCCTTATCTTAGCCCAATTCACTGTGGAAACCCGCTGTTTGGATGACCTTCACTCCACAGTACTCAGCTTTAAGTTTTTGCGAACAAAAGCCCCAGCATTGAGTGTGCTGCTAGCGAGGAGGATGGCCCCGCAGGGGACCCCACTGTCACGACCGTTTTGCACTTTCAGATCCAGTTTCTGCTGAAGAAGGGACGGTGTCCACCAGGGGCACCTCTGCCCAGAGCGTTGAACTTGTCCTCCCGCCCCACGCAAACCACCACGGAAACACATTTGGTGGCCAGATCATGGCCTGGATGGAGACGGTGGCTGCTGTTTCTGCAAGGTTCCTAACTTCTGACCTCAGCTTGCTGCTTTAGGACCAGTGGGGAGAAAATGGAAAGTCAGGATGAGCTGGGCCAGTTGGGGGTCAGGGGACGACGGGCTGAGGAAAGGGCGCCTCCTACCACACCCAGGAAGTTATCAGTCATTTGGTTGCTTGCCTTAGGATTGATCCGTCCTTCGTGCAAAGGTCAATGTTAATTTCTTCACTCAAAAGTGAAAATGAAACAAGAGTTTGGAATCTGTATTCTGAATACTGACCTTGTGATATCTACAGATATGTCTGTAGTTAGAAACCTGTAGTTATCCTTTCTATGGATGGTGCACAGTACAAGAAGCCTTGTTTTAAAAATGAGATTGTCACTCCTAATGACAGTGCAGCTCTCAGACATGTTCTGTCATCAAGACTTACAATATAACTTAGCTGTGGTGCAGTCTGCTTGCATAGTGTTGGCATAGCTGTTTAACCGAAGGAGTAGCAATCTAAAATGTGGAAAACTGTGGAAATAGCATTCTGAAATGCTGTAAGATGTGAAAAGCTCACCTTTCAGTGTGTGGTGAAGTCAGTTAACCGTGAAGCTAACGAGTGGCGGTGAGCTGCACCTGCTGGCAGCTGTCCCCCACTGCCACCGGGCGTACAGAGCCCTGGGAGAGCAGTCACAGGCTGTTGGACCAACATAACCAGGACAGAAGGCACTGGCTTGTTTTTCAGAGGGACTTCCATCGGGGCCAGACAAGAGCAGTCTGTTAGCCCAGGAGCAGAAGTACCAGTATCTCGGGAAAGACCCCACTTCTCCTGGACATGTGCTTCCCTGAAGGTTTGCCGTTTGTGTGCAGTCACTGTGAGCACACAGAATCCAGTCACCTGCCTCACTCGAGTTAGAAGAGGTTTTGTGCAGAAAATGGCCAAGAACTTGCCCGCCGCAGCGGCTCTGACTCAGTACTCCCGGGGCTCTGCAGGGAATGAGTGCTTTGTTTCTTGTCTCCCTCAGCCGCCTGTGTCACGCGCACCCCATCCTCAAGTCCGTGGACATGTTCAAGTTCAGGGGCCCGTCCACAGTTGGAGACCGGCTTGTCTTCAATGCCATTGTCAACAATACCTTTCAGACCTGGTAAAGCATGCTCTCAGGCTCCTGGGCGCTGACTCAGCTTGCACATACATAGTTTTTAATTTTTGTTTAAATATGGAGGTAAATAAGGGGATTAAAAGGACCAAGTTACGTCTAATTTTTTTTTTGAAATTTCATTCCATCTTTAAAATCTGAGGGCACATGTGTGAAGTCGGTGTCCTCCCACTGAGCGCATAGTGATTGACGGGGACTTTGGTCTCTTAGGGTCTTAGGGCAGCTGTGTGGCGCAGGGTGACCCTGGTGTGTGCCTGTGGTCTTGGCATAGTGTTTAACTCTGTCTCCTGCCCTCCAGAGTGGCCCAGTGACTGTGCCATCAACCGACCCATCATGGGCCCGGTACTCACCGCCACAAAGTCCAAACCACTTTCTAGTTATTTTTATTATTCTTTAGAGTAAAAGGCTTTAAATTGGTATTTTTTCATTTTAGATATAAAAACGTGCTACCTTTGTCTCCCTCTAATTTCCACGTTTGATTCTTTGACAATGCTGAACTACTGTTCTTAAGGACGAGAACTTGACTCTGGCAGTATAAACCCCCTCCCATAACCAAAGTGTGCTCCTGAAGGTGTGCTCCGGGGAACCCCCAGGTGGCCTGTCACCTGCCTGAAGGCGGAAGCCAGGTGGAAACGCTTTCACAGCCCTGGACACGCTGGCCCAGTGGCCTGAAGATGGATTAGAATAGCGCTCAGATTGCAGGGAACCAACGCGAAAACCCAGCACCTTCTTCCTCCTCTGTTGTTGGAGAAGCGGAGAGAGCAGGCGGGAGGGCTTGACACGCGTGGTTCTCTGCCCACGGCCCCGTCTCACCCTTGCAGCGTGGAAGTCGGAGTGCGCGTGGAGGCCTTTGACTGTCAGGAGTGGGCCGACGGCCACGGCCGGCACATCAACAGCGCCTTCCTCATTTACCACGCGGTCGACGACAGGGGCGAACTCCTCCCGCTTCCCAGGGTCAGACCCATCTCAGAGGTCGGTGATGGTCGCGGGAGCTTCCACAGTCAGACCGGGTTGGCAGAGCCCTCCCCGCCTCCTGTTCCCACCTGCAGCAACCCCCACGGATTTTTCCTTTAGTTTTCTGCATACAAAGTAAAGCAGACTTTCCCACCTCCGATAACACTGAGCACTGGCTGAGATGTCAGAGGCTCTCAGGGCCCCCCTGGGCTCAGCTGTGCTGCTGTGGGCGGCGCCGTCTCCTGCCACGCCCTCTGCACCTGCTCTCATTTCCCACATCCAGTTCTGAGCCATTTCCACCTTCCTCGGAACCCTGTCTGTTCCTCGTCCTGCGATTACCGTATCACCAACATTCTTTTCTAGCAACTCTGTCGCAAGACTTATAATAAAAAGAAAACAGCTGTGAAGGTGGTACTTTTGTCTACACAGCAGCCCTTTGTGGGTTCTTTGACTTGAGAACAGTTCAGAGATACTGTGTCCCTGTTAGCCTTTCGGGCTGGCTTCACAGAGATTTACTTAAGGACTGTGTTGGGGCCAGCACTGTGGCACAGCGGGTTAACCTGCCACTTGCGACACTGGCATCTCATAAGATCGCCAGATGGAGTCCCGGCTGCTCCAGTTCCCTTCCAGCTCCCTGCTAATGCAGCTGAGGAACCAGCAGAAGACGGCCCAAGTGCCTGGGCCCTGTCACCCATGTGGGAGACCAGGGTAGAGTTCTGGGGTCCTGGCTTCAGCCTGGCCCAGCCCCAGCCATTGCAGTCATCTGGAAAAATGGAAGATCTCTCTCTCTCTCTCTCTCTCTCTCTGTGTATCCCTCTCTCTGTAACTCTGCCTATAAATAAATAATTTTTTAAAACAAAATAAGGATATGTATCACCAAACTGTTAGATATTCATTGATTTTACTTTTTTTTTTTTATTCAAGGATGATTTCAGGCGCTATCGGGGAACCATTGCACGCAAGAGAATTCGCCTAGGCAGGTAAGGGAAGTAAAAGAGCAAGGGTGCTGTGGATTCTCCTGCATCTGAGGAACCGCACAAGGAAAAGCCCCTCTCGGGGTCTCCGCTCCCCTCCGTGTGAGTAGAGAAGGCCATGCTGTTTCCTGGCCGTGCCGGCTGCGCACTGACCAGGACGGCGGTTCTTCCTGACCGCTTTCTGCAGACAGAGCAGCTTTTATTTAAACTGCCGATTTCAGTTCCAGAAAGTATCAAGGTGGTGGCTGTGCATTAAACGGAGGGACGGAAACTGCTATTTAACATTTCATTTTTTTTCCAGAAAATACGTAATTATGCACAAAGAAGAGGTTCCACATTGCACCCACTGGGATCTAAGCAAGCAGGTAACCCTCTGAGCTGTGGCTCACGCGGTGTAAAAGCCCTGTCTCCACCAACGCAGAAACCCACTTGTTGAGCTGATGTGGGTTGTGTCTACACAGGTTAGGTGAAAAGGGGGATTCTATCACCAGGCTTTTCAGAATGACACTAAAGCAAGCCATTCATAACTGGTGCCCAGCCAGTTGTCTCTGTCTTGTTAGACTTCCAGTATGGTTCCCAGACGACCTGATGGCCTGCTCTCAGATTTGTCCAAGCAGCGTGGGGCACAGTTGACCTGCTGTTCTCCTGTGACCTGTGCTGAGTGACACCCACAAGCTTGCAGTTTATAAAACAACGTAGCAATAGTCATTCCAGTGTTTTGACTGTTAAGAATCCAAATTTACTTGTTACGCATTGGTTATGACGGTGCTTCAAAAAGTTCGTGGAAAATGGCATTAAAGTGGGGCAGGCGTTGTGCAGCAAGTTAAAGCACTGCTCGGGACGTCCACTTCTCACATCATAGTGCCTGAGCTTGAATCCCGCCTCCGCTTCCGATCCAGCTCCCTGCTGGTGTGCGCCCTAGGAGGCAGCAGGCGATGGCCCAAGCACGTGGGTCCCTGCCACTCGTGTGGGAGACTTGGGTGGAGTTCCTGGCTGCTGGCTTCAGCCTTGCCTGGCCCTGGCTGTTGCAGGCATTTGAGGAATGAACCCGTGAATGGCAGATCTTTCGCTCTCTCTCTCTCTCTCTCTCTCTCTCTCTGTCACACACACACACACATGCACGCACTCACGCACACACACACGCACGCACACACATATATCTTTTTGTCTTGATCTTTCCAATAATAGCTTTTTTAATAAAGAAGTTTATTTTGGTGCAAAAAAATGGAAATTTATGCACAAGGTTTTTTTTTTGCAGAAATTCTTTTTTTTCCCAACTTTTATTTAATAAATATAAATTTCCAAAGTACAACTTTTGGATTATAGCAGCTTTTCCCCCCATAACCTCCCTTGCACAAGTTTTTTGCAGTATGCATGTCCATGGACTTTCTGAAGAACCTACATGTGCTTGGATTTAGATATTTTTTTTGCACCAAAATAATCGTATGCTTTAATTCATTTTCCCATGAACTTTTGGCAGTGCTGTCCTATAAGTCATACTGCCTTTGCTCAGGATACCAATTAAAGTGATAGGAAGTTGCTAGGCGTGGGGTTACCGTGTCTGGATTCTGCATTTAGAGCCTGAGATAGAAGCAGTGAGTAGCTGTCGTTTGGTACTATGTGTCACAGTGCTGCGTTGGCTCAACATAACCTCCCCAGCAGTGCCCATTCTCTAAGCACAGAGTCTCTGATCACATAGGGAGTATCTGCACTGAACACACACTTTTCAACTACCTGTCTCAGGCAGCGCTCAGCAGCGGCAATGTGGAGGCGCTCGGAAGGCTGGCAGCCAAAAGCGGCTGGGAGGTGACCAGCGCTGCGGAGAAGGTAGGAGGTGGGCAGGTGTTGCATATCCCCTGTCCCTGCCAGGTGAAGCTGTGCTGGCGGATGGTGCTGGTGGCCCCGCCGCATCTGCTGTTGCTCCCGAAACAGCAAGAACCTCAGGAAACCGCCCCCAGCCCCTCTCTCTCCACACGGCCACTCGGGCTCCTGCAGATGCATCTGGCACGTGCCTGCCCCTGGGCAGCCCCTGCTCCTCATGTCCACCTTCCCCAGCCCCTCCTGGTCTCAAGATCCAGAGCAGACGCTTGTCCCTAGGGCCATTCCCAACCTGACGGCCGTCTCCCTCTGCAGCTCCTTCAGTCACAACCTCCTGAAATTAATCTGGCAGTTAATTAGGCATCACCTGTGACGTTTCTGCCTCGTCAGTCCTGAGCCTTCCGTGGCCCCTGAGCTGTCTACTGTCTGCACGGGGTCTGTTTTCCCTGGCCTGATGTCCTCTCTACCTCTTAATAATGTCCAGCCTGCCGTGTGTGTCACCAGCCTCCGGGCCCCTCCACACTTGGATTTGTCTCTAGCTTCGGAGGCCTGTCAGGAGTCCCTTGAGGCGGATGGCACTGTCGGCTCTCAGAGGGCCCTTTGATCCCCATTGTGCTCGGGGGCATGGTGGTGCTGGCTTCAGGCCTCTGCTCCATGTGCGCTGTTCTCTGTCAACAGTGAAGGGTAACCCGTGACCTGGGGTGGCCAGGTGTCCTGATTGTCTGGGGACAGACCTGGCTCACACATGATGTGTCATCACATCCTAATTATTAACCGTGCTGCAGTCTGGTGGATACGCCGTGCCATCACCTTCCCCAGAATCCAGTGACTGCAGGTGCCTCTCCACGCCCTGGCTTGGACCTCCTCCGAGTGCTCTGCATTTGGCTGTTTGCTCTTGTTACCACGTTGTCCCCACGACTACGTCTTCCCAGGGTCTTCCTCATCCCTTTCCGCCCAGCGAGGCCCAGTGTCCCCCGTGCTTCTCACAGGCCTAGCACAGTTGAGGTGTATGTTCTCACTGTCACTCAGGCACAGCACTTTAGTGCTTGGTCTGCTGTGCTGATGTGAGAGCTGCCTCCTGCTGGCATCTCAGCACTCAGCAACAGCCGTGGGATGAGTGGGTTCGCATCTAGGATGAAGCCAAAGGCCACGTTCAGTGGCATTCAGGAGGCTATGGCCAGAAACAAACCCAGACTCATCAACTTGCTAGTGTCCTAGGAAAATCCTCATTGATTAATTCTGCATTTCTGTGTGGAAAGTTATTAGAGAACATTGTGTAATTTTAAGGACTCTTAAGTTATTAGGGAATACTGTATACCTTTAGGAATTCTTATCTCGGTTGAATTTGAATCTTTTTAAAAAGTACAACCAAGGGGCCAGCGCCATGGTGCACTAGGTTAGTCCTCCGCCTGCGGTGCCAGCATCCCATATGGGTGCTGGTTCTAGTCCCAGTTGCTTCTCTTCCAGTCCAGCTCTGTGCTGTGGCCCGGGAAGGCAGTGGAGGATGGCCCAGGTGCTTGGGCACCTGCACCCCATGGGAGACCAGGAGGAGGCACCTGGCTCCTGGCTTCGGATTGGCATAGCTCCATCCGTTGTGGCCATTTGGAGAGTGAACCAGCGGAAGGAAGACCTTTCTCTCTCTCTCTCTCTCTCTCTCTCTCTCACTGTCTGTAACTCTACCTCTCAAATAAGTAAATAAAATCTTTAAAAAAAAAGTACAATCAAAATAAGATTAAAATGTTTTTCTGAGTTTTTCTTTTTCTCTACTAGTTTTACACTTTTATTAATTTTTTATTTTTAATTTATTTATTTGTTTGAAAGTCAGAGTTACAGAAAGTGGGAGACAGAGACAGAGCTCTCCCGTCTGCTGGTTCACTCCCCAGATGGCTGCAATGGGCAAGACTGGGCCAGACTGAAGCCAGTCGTGCACCCAGCACTGTGGCCAGCACTAGGCAAGGGGAGCGAGCTCTGGGAGGGCGGAACTGCACGGGGCTCCTGAGCTTTGGCTCCAGCACAGGAAGCAGGGAGTGTGTCTGCCCCCCGGGGAACAGCTCCTGGAGACGGGCTGACTCATTTCCCAGGGCTGCAGTAACGGAGCTCCCCACACTGGGTGGGCTCAGCCTTAGGAATCCACTTGTCTGGGAGCTGGGAGTCTGAGAGCAAGGTGTCAGCGGAGTTGGGTTCTTCCCAGGGGACAAGGAGACTGTTCTGAGCCTTGCCCCCGCTGCAGGTGGCTGCTGGCCCGCAACTCTGGCATCAGTTCACTGCACTCTCGCTGTACCTGTGTCCTTGGCCTTCACTGATGTGGACCCCAGCTGCTGGCGTACGGCCTCAACCTGATGAGCGGGCAAGACCCTATTTCCTTCCCAAGTCACATTCTTCGGTAGCGGCAGTGTTAAGCCTTCAACAGATGAATTTGCAGGGCCCAGGGCACAACATGACTCTAAACAAGTGCTCAGCCCAGCAGCACAGCCTCCCCTACACTGGGCCCACGCTGCTCCAAGGCCACCATGTGAGCAGGCTGTGGGGTTCACTCTGGGCAGCTGTCCTTGGCTAGTCTGAGGCTGCTGAGCCCTGGCAGGCTGGCCAAGAGCCTTGGTCAGGGGCCTCGCCCTGCATTGACACCAGTGAGGCTCCTCCCATGCCCCTGCACTGGGAGCAGAGGCGGGCACCTCCATGCCCATGTCCTGCTGGTAGCGTGATCCCAGAGACCACCAGAGCCCTGATGTTCTTTGTGTCTGGTCCGTGCCCATGCTGGGTCATGTCTTCCTTTGCAGGCTTGGCCTCAGGGTGAACTGGAGAAGTGTCCGCATAAGCCAGCAGTCCCTTGTACTCCCCCTAAGCTGCTTCCTGTCTGCTCCTCATGTCGTCACATGTGTTGACGAGGGCAGGGCTCTCCCGTGCAGCCCAACTCTGCCTTCTGCTTGAGTCCCGCAGGAAGTCCTGACCCTGTGCTTGTCTGTCCACACCTTGCTGCCACAGCAGTGGCTGTGAGATGGCAGAGTTCACCACTAACTTTAAGGTACTCTCCAAGAGATGGAGAAAGTGGGCAGGAGGCAGCGTGCTGAGACCCGAACAGGCATCTCTGATTATTGTCAGAGAGGCAGGAGAAGCAAAGCTCAGAGTGACAAGGGATGCGTGAAAGTTTAAGTCCGTGTCAGGCGGCTCCTCTTAGCTAAGGAATCACACGCACTAGAAGCCCTGGAGTCGGCCTCCAGAAACATGAACCCTCGTGACTCAGACATGAGACAGTGTTTTGTGCTGGGAGAGCTGGGTGCTTCAGCAGTTGAGTCAGTTGCAGAGGAGGCTGGCTGGCTTCCTGGGAGATTCACCTGCCACCCAAGACAACGTCCTGAACCTCAGCCTGGTGCCCAGGGCTCTGGGGGTGTCAGAACTCTACCAGGAAGTCCAGCAGCCTGGTGATATTTTCTGTTATTCCTGGATAAAGGCGGGGAGGCGGCACCAAGACAAGAGGGAGAAAGGTTTATTCCTTAGTCTTCCCATGCTGCACAACTGTCCAGCTACTGTGTGGGGCCACCTCTAGAATCCAAGTTCTTGCAGTGAAATTGTTTGGCTTCACTTTCCTCCAGGTACAAAGGCGCCTTGCTGGTGGCTTCTACAGCTACATACACGTGCGTGCTTTGTAAAGTAGAACCTCGATGTTGCCTTCATACCAGTGTGCCCCTCATAATGTGATGTTCCTTGCTCCCTTTGAGATAAAAATATACACCCTGGAAGAGCAGGATGTTCTGTCCATCTGGGTGGAGAAGCGTGTGGAGAGCCCTGCGCACCTGGCCTACCATCTGCTGTCTGACTTCACGAGGCGACCTTTGTGGGACCCGCATTATGTGTAAGGACAAGGGCCAAAGCCTTCCCGAATCAGCCCCGCCGTCACATAGGAGACACCCTCTGCAGGCTGCCCGGTGTGGGACCTGTTGTTTGATTGATCAGAGAGCATGTGCTGCCCCAAACACTGCCTCGGGCGATGTTAAGAGACACACTGCTAAAATTACTGTACTCCTTGACTTACCCTCCGCTGCACGTTGGCTTGTGTCATGCACATCTGTTGGAATCCTCCCAGAAACTTCAAGGTCAGTGCTGTTCCCACCGAGCTGGAGAGCGCGATGTGACAGAACCTGAGTGGCACCCAGGGCCACCAGGCTGTCCTACCATACTGTGATGTACAGCCTGCACTCTGGGGGACGTGACCACCCAGTGGCAGCACCTTTGTCTGCGGAATGGCACCCCCTGGGGGGAAGCCCCGCTGGGTCCTCCCTGCCCACCCTGTGTGACAGTGTGTGCTCCTGTGCACCTGTGTGTCTCACTCTTCCTCCTCCTGACTCTGGCCTCCCTGCGGCAGGCCCTGCTGCGCTCCCTCATTTCCTGGAATTCCTATCTGGTTTTGCCCTCTGTGTTGGTGGGAATTCAACCAACTACAGATCACAAAACATTCAGGGGAAAAATTGCATCTGTTCTGAACATGTACAGACTTTTTTCCTTGGTGTTGTTTCCTAAACAATGCAGTTAACAATGACTGAGATAGCGTTTGCATAGCAGCGGGTGTCCTCAGTCACCTAGGGATGACTTAAGGTTTATGGGAGCATGCAGATATTCTATGAGATACTACAGGACATGAGCATTGTTGGATTCTGGTATCCACAGGGGGTTGGAGCCCCCTCCCTCCGTGGATGCTGAGGGACGGCCATACGGAGTTGAGTGCCTTGTCACCCACCCTGGCAGTGGGAGGTGGCACTCAGACCCAACCCTCTCTGCTCTTAGCACCTTGCAGGGCCTCACAAGGGAAGTTTGGTCACAGGGCTCCTCTCACATTAAGCTCTACTCTGTTTCTCAATCTAGACAAAGGAGCAGTTCATCCTTAAAATTCCTAAGACTCTCTGTGATGAATGCCACGTGATAGACGATATTCAACCCCAGTAAGGTGAAAAGGCGTCCCAGGGGCCAGGCGCTGCGTTTGTGTAGATGGCAGAACACCACACTCTGGTCAATGCCTCCATAACCAAACATTCCCAGAGGAGTGGACGCACTTCTCAGTTTCCTTCATCCATATTTATAGGTATTTTATAAGCACAAAGCTTGTAAGAACAGTGCTTAACCTTTGCTATGAGTTCTTGTGAAATGTTGCACCCACTGTTCTGTCACCTGATGTTCCAGCTCAAATGAACTTGAATGAAAGGAATGAGTGAACTGATTCTGATGGAGCTAACTTCCTTGGGCGCCTACTGTGATTCAAGCATTGGGCCAACTGTTTTCACCTAAGCCACACAGTGACCCCGTGGGTGTTACCAGCCACACACTGCAGATGAGAGTAAGGTGACCTGCCTGAAAGGGGACAGGCGCACGGGGACAGTCTGGGAGTCCCAAGCAAGCTGTCAGCCTCCACACTTTCTTTCCAACTGGTCCCCTTCCTGTACCTGGTGGTCCTTCTTGGGTCATCCCTCTAATCCACCCATCTTCAGTAAGTTTTACTTGAGCCTAGGAAAAATAATTTTATGGAAAAGAACTCAATGCCTTGCTCTGAAGTCTTGAGGGCTGTGAACCTGGAGTTGGTTGGCCAACCTCCATCACATGCAGAATTCTTCCTTCTGACCAAACAGCTCATGTGAAGGGGACTTTGGGCAGTGATGCTGGTTGGGGGAAGGGTTGGATGAGCTGCAGGGGACAGCTCCGACAGTGATAATGCGATCAATTAAGCAAAGAAGCGAAGTGAGTGGCACACTCCACCTTTCTGTCCACACAGGTCCTGTGAAGTGATAGACCGGGTGAGTGAAGACGACCAGATATACCACATCACCTGTCCTGCGACCACTGGGGACAAGCCCAGGGACTTGGTTGTGCTTGTGTCACGAAGAAAGCCTCTCAGGATGGGGTGAGTGTGTGCAGTCCCAGTGGCACGGCCATGTCTGTAGTCTAAAATAGAGATGAAAACTTGATGTGAAAATGAGGAAGTTAGGGTGGGCTTGTAAGCCCAGTCATTAAGACTCCTGTGCCCCACGTGGGAGTATCTGGGTTGAATCCCCACCTCTGGCTGCTGACTCCAGCTTCCTGCTAGTGCGGACCCTGGGAGGCAGTGGCGATGGCTCAAGTGAGTGGGTTCCTGCCACCCACGCAGGAGGCCGGGTTGACTTCATACCTCCAAACCAAGGACCACTGTAGTTATCTGGGGGCTGAGCCATTGGTTAGGAGTGTGTGTCCTCTCTATACTCCCTCTGCTTCTCGCATAAGTAAGTTATTTAATTTTTTAAAGATTTGTTTATTTGAAAGTTACAAATAGAGAAGAGACAGAAAGAGAGATCTTCTATCTGTTGGTTCATTCCCCAAATGACTGCAACGGCCAAAGCTGGGCTGGTCCAAAGCCAGGAGCCAGGAGCTTCTTCTGGGTCTCCCATGTGGGTGCAGGGGCCCAAGGACTTAGGTCATCCTCCACTGTTTTCCCAAGCGCATTAGCAGGGAGCTGGATTGGAAGCGGAGCAATGGGGACTCGAATCTGCCCATATGGGGATGCCTGCACTGCAGACAGTGGCTTAACCTGCTGCGCCACAGCATCGGCCCCAAATTACTTAATTTTTTAAAAAAGGAAGTCAATATGGGGAAGTCAGTATCTTATATGATATTTGAAAATGCTTAGGGGCCGGCACTGTGGCACAGCGGGTTAACGTCCTGGCCTGAAGCGCCCGCATCCCATATGGGCGCCGGTTCGAGACTTGGCTGCTCCACTTCTGATCCAGCTCTCTGCTCTGTCCTGGGAAAGCAGTAGAGGATGGCCCAGGTGCTTGGGCCCCTGCACCTGCATGGGAGACCTGGAAGAGGCTCCTGGCTCCTGTTGGATTGGTGCAGCTCCGGCCGTTGTGGGCAACTGAGGAGTGAACCAGTGGATGGAAGACCTCTCTTTCTCTCTCTCTCTGCTCTCTCTGTGTAACTCTGACTTTCAAATAAATAAATAAATCTTTAAAAAATTGTTTAAACTAGATATGTAGGTATAATTTAACAAAAAGTTAGGTCACACAGTAAGTGCCAGCTGAATACAAAGCACCAAGCAAAGATCCTGTAGTGTTTCCTTTTCCTATTTCTCTTTGTGGTTGCAAACTGATACTTAGTGAACCTTCAGCAATCCCATTACCAAGAAAAAAAAGTGAAATTAAAATCAAATCAAACACCACAAATCGGCTTAGAACTCACCGAGGCTCGGCTGTGTGGCTATCAGCCTGAGCTGTTGGTCGGAGCACCACACGTGGCTTTTCACTGTGTGGGGCCATTCAGGGCACCCCAAGTACCCCCGCACATGTGTGAGTGTTAATGTCCAGGGATGCTCAGTGCAATGTCGCTTATGTCAGATGATATCGAACATAAGCCAAAGCTCTACTTAGAAATTATGGCAGATGCATTCTACAGTGTGCATTTAAAGGAGGAAGTGGTGGGTTCAGTGTTGTGGTGTAGCAGGTGAAGCCACCACCTGCAGTGCTGGCATCCCATATGAGTGCTGGTTCGAGTCCTGGGTACTCCACTTCCAACCCAGCTCCCTTCCTGGGAAAAGCAGCAGAAGAATTCCAAAGTGCTTGGGCCTCTGCCACCCATGTGGGAGACCCAGAAGAAGCTCCTGACTCCTGGATCCTAGCTCTTGGCTCCTGGCTCCTGGCTTTGGCCTGGCCTATTGCTGGCCATTGTGGCCATCTAGAAAGTAAACCAGTGGATAGAAGATCTCTCTCTGTCTATCTGTCTCTCTGTAACACTTTCAAAATTAAATGAATTTAAAAAAAGATGAAGTAGCTGTCAAAACTGTAATATAAAAACACCTCCAGGCCGGCGCTGCGGCTCACTAGGCTAATCCTCCACCTAGCAGCGCTGGCACACCGGGTTCTAGTCCCAGTCGGGGCGCTGGATTCTGTCCCGGTTGCCCCCCTTCCAGGCCAGCTCTCTGCTGTGGCCTGGGAGTGCAGTGGAGGATGGCCCAGGTGCTTGGGCCCTGCACCCCATGGGAGACCAGGATAAGTACCTGGCTCCTGCCTTCGAATAGGCGCGGTACGCCAGTCACAGCGCGGCGGCCATTGGAGGGTGAACCAACGGCAAAAGGAAGACCTTTCTCTCTGTCTCTCTCTCTCACTATCCACTCTGCCTGTCAAAAAAAAAAAAAAGAAAAAGAAAAAACAAAAAAAAAAAACAAAGCAAACAAACAAACAAACACTTCCAGAGATATACTGTTAGGTAAAAAATCAAATTGTAGACCAATATGTATAAAATGCTCATATTTATATAAAATCTTTAGGTTCACATTTAGTTCTGTAAGTGTCATTATTATGCAAGTTTAACAAGGTCCAGAGAGCTACAGCGGAATGCTAAGAAGACAGGTCAGCTCCAGGGTGTAGAGAAAGACTGGACCTGGTATAAGCTGTATCATTCGAGGATTCTTTAAAGTGATGGCTATTATTTTTTTGATTTTTTAATTAAAAACGGAGGTGGGGTGGACAGGCATTTGGCCTGGCAGTTAAGACACTGTTAAGACGCCTGCGTTCAGCCTCCGGGTGCCTGGTTTGAGTCCTGGCTGCAGGTCCTGACTCCAGCTTCCTGGTGATGCAGATGCCGGGAGGCGGTGGTGATGGCTCTGCTGCCCACGTGGAGACCTGGACTGAGTTCCTGACTCCCAGCTGTGGCTGTGGCCAGGTCCAGTTGCAGGCATCTGGGGAGTGAACCAGCGGAGAGGATCTCTGTCTGTCTCTTTGGGTCTCTGTCTCTCATAAAAAAAAAAAAAGTAAAAAATGAGAGGGAACTGAAATTACCCACGTTTAGGGCACAGTGACACTTCAGTGTGGGGGCTGGCCGCAGCTGTAAGGAGTTAGCCCAAGCTAGTGCAGTTCTGGGGCAGGAAGTCCCTGCTCTTGAGGGTTCCCGGGAAGAGCTTTTCCGATTCAGACGCCCCTCTGGGAGAGGCGGGTCTTCTGCTGCTTCTCTGCCTTGCTAAATAAATAGCAGGCGTTCTAGGAGTTTCGTTTCTTGCAGCATTTCTTCGTTTCTCACAAGGTTTAGAAAATGCCTGCTTCCCTTCCAGGCACGCCTACACGGTGGCGGCGAAGTCGGTCATGCTGCCGTCCGCCCCGCCATCTCCTGACCACACCAGGAGTGAAATCATATGTGCCGGCTTCCTCATCCACGCCATTGACAGCCATTCCTGCACCGTAAGCTTGATGAGACGTCCGCTCATTGATTCGCTCTTAGATAAAGGGAAACCTCGGTTTACCGGGGCTCCCCATTCATTATAATCCTGTCACTTGTGTCCACGCTAGGGGAATCCTAAGATGAACCTCTCAGACCTTTTCCAGAAGGTCCCGGGGTCTTAGCCTTCCCCACACCACCAAGATTCAGCTCCCAGCTTACGGAGGCTCCAAATCAATTATAAATTACAGTCTGGGTTTTCTTCTTGACACAGGTGTCTTACTTTAACCAGATGTCTGCTAGCATCCTTCCCTACTTTGCTGGAAATCTGGGCGGCTGGTCCAAGTCCATTGAAGAAGCGGCAGCCTCTTGTATTAAATTCATAGAGGACGCTACTGATGGTGGGTTTCTGAGCGTGTCTTAAGGAGTCAACTGTCAGTCACCTGTCATATAATTTCTCACTTTTTATCCAAACACCCTTAGCCCTGACACTGGGGAAGTTTCGAGGTCACACAATAACTTCTTATCAGCCTAGGGAAAGTGCAGTTTAGGACAAGGTTAAAAACCAAAATGCGCCGGCGCCGTGGCTCAATAGGCTAATCCTCCACCTTGCGGCGCTGGCACACCGGGTTCTAGTCCCGGTTGGGGCGCTGGATTCTGTCCCGGTCGCCCCTCTTCCAGGCCAGCTCTCTGCTATGGCCAGGGAGTGCAGTGGAGGATGGCCCAGGTGCTTGGGCCCTGCACCCCATGGGAGACCAGGAAAAGCACCTGGCTCCTGGCTCCTGCCAGGATCAGCGCGGTGCGCCGGCTGCAGCGGCGGCCATTGGAGGGTGAACCAACGGCAAAAGGAAGACCTTTCTCTCTGTCTCTCTCTCTCACTGTCCACTCTGCCTGTCAAAAAAAAAAAAAAAAAAAAAAAAAAAACCAAAATGCATCTCAAGTCAACGATCAGTCATTTGGATTGGCAATGAAAGAGGTTTATAATTCTGCTTTAGAACATCCACGGCTCTGCCTCTTTCAAAGAGAGAATGGAAGCTTATCTGTTGCCATATTGTGCATTCTATGAAAAAGTACAAATTTAATTACAATGGTCACAAACCTTTTATAAGTTGCAGGGTATAGTGTGTGTTCTGGTGATGTGCTGTGGTTGGCCCGTGCACTAATGTGTGTCATTGTTCCGTGTGCAAGAGATGCCTGTGGTCAGGCGTACCTGACAAGACATGTTACGTGGTGCAGAGAAGACATTAAAACACAATGGAATCCAGTCAGTTTCAGTAATAGGAGCGACTTTGCTAGTGTCCTTAACACATGTTCGAGGTGGCTGACCCGTTTCATATCTGTCACTGCACACAGACAAAGCACCTGCAACATGTGTTGCAGCCCAGCTCTTCTTCCAGAGTCTTCTCGCAGCACTCCGTCCCCCAGACCCAGCATTCATTATCTGCCCCTCTGATTTGTCTCAGCAGATCAGAATCCATCACGTCAGCCTCAGCAAGACGGCTCGTGACGGCTGCAGGAGCTGCCCGTGAAGTCTAGAGCCTTCCACAGGTTAGACATTCTGCCTCAGCTCCCCTCTCACTTCCTGCCCATCCATGCACACAGTC